AACTCTATGAAACAATTAACATATGATGTAGAAAACTTAGTGTTGAAAGTGTACGCCGAATTTTCAAATAGTGCTAAGCGCGTAAAAGAACTTCAAATTTTTTTTGAAGAATTTGAAATTGAATACAGAAAAGTTCTTCGACATGGACCAACAAGATGGCTAAGTTTGTTTAAAGCTGTCGATAGACTGATAATGTCTTGGCCTGCTGTTTCATCTTATTTTAAATACCAAGGAGAAGAAAAATGTCATCAAGTCATATGGAAGTTTGTCAAAAATATTGACACGACAGAAATGACCGATTTGTCACGCAAAGTAACATTACCAGAATGTTTTTTGTACTTTATTCACCACTACATGAATATACTAAATGAGGCAATATTAATACTCGAGACAAATTCCGTAACATCAGTTGACTTACACAATGTTATGCAAGGTCTAAAAGATAAAATTGAAAATCGATTGAATGATTCATTTTATGGTGCAAAAGTTACGAGAAGTATTTCATCACTTCAAGAAAGTGAGCTAGTAATGTTTAAAAAAGAAGCTAATGAAGTGTATAAAAAAACTATTGATTATTTAAAAAAAAAATACGACTTCAACGATTCTATTTTTAAGATGTTTTCAAACTTTAATTTAAAAAACAAAACAGTTGAGTATGATGATGCATTAAAATCTGTGAATTTGTTAGGATTAAAAAATATTGAAGAAGACCGACTTTACGACGAAGTAAAAAATGTGCAAGGAGTCTGGGTAGAGCTTTCAAAAATGAACTTATCTTCAGACTTAATGTGGGTAGAGTTGTTCAAAAAAAACGATTTCACTGAACTTCCAAAAATTATTGGAAAAATATTTTCAATTCCCATAAGTAATGCTTTTGTTGAACGAGTATTTTCATTGATGGGAAATTTATGGTCCGATGAAAGAAATCGTCTATCAGTGGAAATGGTTAAATCAGAACTCTGCGTCAAATTAAATTACAATATGAACTGTCAAGAATTTTTGTACTTTTTAAAAAATCCCGAACAAGAAAAATTATTGAAATGTGCAACAAATAATATTAAGTATGATTTTAAATTAAAATAATTTTTCTTGTTCTTGTTCGGGATTTTTAATCATATTTATTATAAAATTTGTAATTTTCAATAATAAAATATGTGATTATATTAAAATTTTTTCTGATGACCTTTTTTTTTTTTTTTTTGCTTATCTCGGCCTGTCTCCGGGGCTGCTGTCTTTCAAAGGTGGCAACCCTAATTATACCTACTACTATTACATTTTGCTTAGTGGAATAATTTCGTTTCGTTGTTTAATTGTTAGATATTTATAGACACATGGTCACATGGGTATCACGTTATAATGCTGATAATACGATATAATTATTTTATAATAATGACAGCGATGAAGTACATACCTAATGCTATTTTTTCACAATTTAATAATATTATTTCGGCATTTTTCGGAAATACTTGATTCACTATAAATTACAATACAAAAATACACGATATTTTATTACCAAAACCGAAATTTTAGCAAAACCCCTTTATACTGACATCATATTTTTGAAAGAATTATTTAAAAATATATTTTTGATAAAAAAAAAGTTCCTAAAAGTCGTGCTAAACTGCATTATTTAAATATATTTGTGCAATAGTGCAATAGTGGTTAATGTTTATTACGAAGTAATATATTCTTAGTTAAAAAAAGGTTTTTCGGAAAAATTGGGAAAATTTGGTTTCATTTAAAATTTCCAGAACAAATGGTTTTGACTAAAAAACTGGTTTTTTCAATTTTTCCTGAAAAATTAAAAAATTTCATAAAAAAATTGATTTTTTTTTTCTAAAGAACTAAAAAAGTAGGTAATGTATATTGGAAACAATCTAATAAATATAAAATAATGATAGTTGACAATTATATTACATGCATATTATATATGCCATACCTAACTTAAAGTCTGTAGTGGATAAATCTAGAGGATTCTATATACTTGATTTATAAATAATTAATATTTGTAATATTAACTACTAAAGTACTTACTATTAAGCATTTACTATGTAGTTATTTCTTATTAGTTATTATTAATAGGCATAGAATTCGTTAAACTTAAACTTATACAAGTATTATCGAAGAATCCAGGGTATTCTCAAATATTAAAAAATATGTGGAATATTAAGCGGAGAAATAAGCAATGACAATGAAGGCATTGAAGAGTTGACACCTTAAGACATTTCTTGTTTTAAGCATGAGCCTATCGTGTCTTGCGACGTAGAAACAAGTTTTTCAAAATACAAATCTATGTTACGTGACAACCGTAGAAATTTCGAATTTGAAAATATAAAAAGACATTTCGTAACCTTTTGTTGGAACTCGTTCCAAAATTAATATTACATTTGCATTTATTTAATTGAGCAATATAGGTATAAATGTGTGATTTGTACATAATGCAAGCACAATAATAATATATTTAAATTCTATTTTTTTCACATAATATATTTTTTAATTGTTTTAAGATATGTTCATTTTTTTTAACACCCAATAAAGAATATTTTTTGCATTTTTTTTAATTTTTGAGTGCATAAATATGTGCATATTTAACAATAATTTTTGCATACAGTTCCGGCCCTATAGTTATTAATATTATTTAATTTTTACCAACTCACTAAGTTTAAAAATACAAATACTATCAAATAGTTACTATTTACTAGTCATAACTCACCACTCACCAGTCACTGTAATGTAATTTATAAACCTATCAGCCAGTTACTATAATACCTTATTAGTTATTACAAATATAAATTAACAATAAGTATACAATTTTTAACATTTAAAAATACAGGTGATTTATTTTCGGGGAAATACACTCTCCAACATAATAATTTGATATGTATCTACGTTACTTTTAGAATAAATATTGAAATATTAGTATATTTTTAATGGTTTAATTTTAAATTTTAATACAATAATACATTGATAATCGTATTGGATAATGTGAAATGACAATGACAGGTTTCCTTATCTATTTATTATAAAGGTTTATTTTTTACATAGATTGTTTGAATTTTAGAGCAATACAATTTTTTAATTTTCCACAAATTCGGTTTTTTTTTAATTTTCCGAAAACTTAGGTTTTTTCGGAAATGTATTATTTTAATATTCTCTAATTTTTCCACGTTTTCTGAGGCTCTGGGAAAAAAGCGTTTTTTTCCGAAATTTTGATCCCTACCTAGTTATTCCATAAAATAGGTATACTATATATTAATATCTATAAATAATAATATATATATTTAAATAAGTTATAAGTACATAAAAATAGTTCGCCAATTTAAAAAAAAAATCATGGGGGTATATGACACACAATCCCCCCATAATTACGCCAATTCAATAATGCACATGTATGTTATTAATTTGTCAAAAACCAAAATTTTTCAAAATGATGTTCTTATTTGTCCAAACTGACTTTAGTAGATTGAAAAAATGGCAAAATATGTCATTAATAATAATGCTCAAATATGCACTTATATGCAATGACAAAATATGTTAAGTAAGTATAATTTTCAGTATATCATTAGTATTAATTAGTAGTGTTCTGAAACATATTTATACATCTCTCACATTGTTTTCGACCGTTCTAGACAAATATGAAATCATAAAAGTCCTCAACCCTAGTTATTACACCTACACATTTAAGAAATATAAATACTATAACAAAAACATTCACAAACGTCATTCTCCTTCTAGATTTTGTAAGTTTATACAGAATTGATTAAGTATTTAAAATACATTAGAAAATTAAAATACAAATAAAGTATTTAAATAGGTATCTACCTAATAAAAACAGTTGTCCCCTGACGTCATGTATATACTAGCATTTGCTATGGATAGTCTGTCAGGCCACGAGGGCATGACATGTATATGCTATTGCAATAAATTTAATTTATTTCAATAAACGATGGGAGCCAAAGGAGTACTAATCCTAACGCAGTTCCCCTCTTGCTCTTGATTAACACGTAAAAAAATAAGTACTTAAAACAGTTAACAATTATAGGTATAAGTAATATTAAGTAATAATATAAGTATCATTGTGACGTGACTACTGACTTCCACCTTGTAAAATGTATCTACATGTATTTATTATTCAATTATAAACTGCAGCAGTTATAGGTAGTCGCTAGGTCAAAATATTAGATGCCTATATTGGCTATATTTATTATATAACAGATAATAAAATGTTTAATATTAATTAATATTATCTAGTTTGTTGTTTGTTACAATTTAATAACTGACTTAATGGCATGAAGTAAATATTGTTGTTTTAATACATTTTTAATGAGTTTTTATAACCTTATATATCAATATCATAAATGTTTTGTTTAAACTATAATATGCAAATCAGTATGAAATATTACTTTAAAATAATTATACAAGGTTAGCAATACATATTTGCTTTTATTGATTGTACAGTGCACATAATAATATAAAACTATTTGTTAACATATTATATTTTAGAAAAACTAAACTTAAATAATCAAACATACTTTTTAATTCTGTTAGGAGGGAGGAACATATTCGTTTTACAATTAGGTACTTATCTATGTGTTTTTTTTAAATGGACCAGGGTGTCCTTATAGTAACAAAGTGACCCATATCATAACCCCTTAAAAAAAAGTGTTTGCTACGAATTACGATAAGGCACTTAAAACTTGTTTAACACACCATGAAAGGTATAGCCAAAAAAACCACTCTTCGTTATAATACCAATATAGGGCATAGAAAAATATGTATGGCCACTGTCGTTACTGTGTCACGTAACAATGATGCAAAAAAATAAATACTGTGGCGTGACCTATATACTGTAAAATATAACTATTATTGAATTTTTGATTACAGTTATGTTCCTTCACATTTCGATGGTTCAAGAATCAATTAATACGTATATAGTAATTGTTTAAATATTTATTTAAAATGTTTCATTCCATCGGTTGTACTGTTGTTGCATTCTATGCCTAGTAGTCCGAGTTGGCGTTATCGCAATAACATTGCGACGTTTTTGACTTCATCCCAGATTCGGAATGGGTTCTCTGTTGAGTACTTGGGTTATCCTGGTACCGACTACTGTAAGATCCCCGCGTCATAGTATTAGATTCCATTCCGTATGGACGGGCGTTAGGTGGACGGACGTTGGGAGGACGAACGTTAGGTGGACGGACTGAGTTCGAACGATCTACCAGTGAACGGGTAGGTGTTGACCAATCAGGCTGCGAACGTGTACTTATTGAACGATTGTTCCGATCAGCCTGCGGACAAGTGAAATTCGACCGATCCGTCGATGGACGTATAAAGGTCGAAGATGCCTGTGGTAGTGTAAAAGACGAATGGCCGGCCAGTGGACAGGAAGAGGTGGAACGATCGGCTGGCGCACCTGAACCGTATTTTGAACGATCGGCTGGAGCACCTGAACCGTATTTTGAACGATCGGCTGAGGCACGTGGACAACTTGAACGCTCTGATGGACATGTGGGCATTGGACGATCGACTGGGGCACGTGGACAACTTGAACGCTCTGTTGGACCGGTAGACGTCGAACGATCGGCAGACCCGCGTGTACAGCTTGAACGATCTGGCGGTGGACAGGTGGGGTTTGGGCGATCGGCTGGGGCACGTGTACAACTTGAACGCTCTGATGGACATGTGGGCATTGGACGATCGGCTGGGGCACGTGGACAACTTGAACGCTCTGTTGGACCGGTAGACGTCGAACGATCGGCAGACCCGCGTGTACAGCTTGAACGATCTGGCGGTGGACAGGTGGGGTTTGGACGATCGGCTGGGGCACGTGTACAACTTGAACGCTCTGGTGGACAGGTGGGAATTGGACGTTCAGGCGGTTGACAGGTAGAGGTCGAACGTTCAGCAGGTGGACAGGTGGAGGTCGAACGATCGGCAGGCCCGCGTGTACAGCTTGAACGATCTGGCGGTGGACGGGCGTTGGTCTTACATGATCGTCGCTTTTTCTCCAACGGAACTTCCTGGACTTCCGTATTGGTCTGCTGACCTGACTCGCTGGTCACCACCGTCCCGAAGTTGATGATGATCTGCGATAGTTGCCGGTCTTCCATATCACAGTTAGATGGTTGCTGATCGTTCCGGTGACGGTTCTGAGATTGATTCATTGCACCGTTGTTCGGCAAGCAGAGCTGTTCGGATGATCGTACCCACTCCGTTTGGGGTTTCGGCCGAGGTACATGGGTTGTGCGGTTTTTGCCGGGGCTGCAGTTCGACGCCGGAGGTGCCTGTCCGCACGAACCACGCTGTCTGTCTTTTGAACCGTTTGCCTCGGCACATGGATTACGCCCATGCTGAGGACCCCCGCTGTTCACTTTGATCCATTCCGGAATCGGTTGTGATTTTAAGAAATCACATATACTCATTTCCGTTCGTTCCTCACGTCCACCGCACACATTTTTTCGTGGCTTAGGTTTTTCCTCGCATTTTGATATCAGTTGGCAACAGCATCGGTCTGACTTGCACACATCCTTATCGTTTTGTCCCATCGTCCGGTCCGTTAAAATACTGTTAAAGATACTTGTTCGCGGTGTACACGGTAAAATTTTGTTTCTATTAATATTTTATAATTTTGATTATTTTATAAGTTGCATTTCATAAGTAATTTTCTTGATTTTAAAATATCATGCGTAAATGGCGAGATTGTTGTTTTTGTATTTTTTACTCGGGTGTAACAATATTACAACGTTGCCTAGAGAATACCACTCAATAACAACATATTATAATTAAAGACCAGACTTTATTGCACTAAACAGTAAACATCATAATATGTGAAAATTGTATTGATAAATATATTATGGATATAGAGTGATTAAAGAAGATATTTTACTTCTTATACGCTTAGTATAATATGTTTGGAATAATGACGAACGTCAATAATAAAAAGTAGGGCTAGTGGGTATAATAATGCTCTGCTGTACCTACTCCTGTACAGTTGTAGTTGTCGAGTATGTCATTGTAATTAGTGGCGTAGCTACGGGGGGGCATAGGGAGAGCTTGCCCCCCAACCTCCTTTGAAAATTAACTCTTAATACGAAATTCCTCACGAAAAAGTGTTATTATTATTTTCATTTACTAAAATTAATTATTAATTACTATCTATAAACTATATTATATTGTATTATGTATTTGACTTAATACTATAAACTATGATTATTATGAACAATTTTGAAATTTTGCCCCCCTAACTTAAATTCCTACTTACGCCACTGATTGTAATGAACGTGTTGTATTTATAAATTATATTCAATGACAAATCATTGCATACAAAAAACTATTCTGAGCGGATACCTACGTTGTGTCCTCTTATAAATAATTCAATTTAATAATTTTCAAAAAATCAAAAATATTTTATGGCTTTAATTAATGTAACTTTCAACTTTCTAATAAACTAATTTTTTTGTAAATTTAGAAAAATGTATGGGGAGTTTTCTATTAAATTATCTTATGTTAGCTAATTTTGAAAGAAAAACTTTTATAAATTGTTAACTGAAAAATAATTTTTCATGGCTATAAACAGCTCAAAAACAGTCAAAATAATTTTAAAACTTTACTGCATATGGTAAATGCTTATATAAATATTTGGTTTAAAATTTCAGGTTTCTACGGTGTTTATGTTTGAATTACAACAAAATATCAAAAATCGATTAATGGAAATTAAATTTACGGTTGAATAGGTATCCAATGTAAAAATGAATTTGACTTTCCGGTAAATATTTTTTGTTAAAGATAGGAACAGTTACGAGGAATCTTGTACTATTTTTTTAAATCTTAGATACAAATATAAAATGTTTTATGAATGTAATAAATATTAAGGAACATATATTTTTGATTTTATGTAAATCGTTATTAAGGACTAATATGCTTAGTAAACTTAATTACATATATTTTAATAACTCAGAAACTACTCATTCAAATTTAGATTTAGATAAACCAAAGAACATTTAAAAAAATAACATCTGTCTAATAACTTACAGTAGAAAATTATGGTTTATATTTGAAATAAAATTTGGGATATGGCTCTGCTGTTAATAGGTGTCTAGACTCTAGAGTCTAGAGTATACATCGTCATTGAGTAAGTCATTGTAAATTGTAATGGAACATGGATGTGTTAAATTTTAATTCAGTGATAAAACATTGCATTGGTAGGTATAAACGATTCGTAGTGAATACGGTTAATAGTCAGTACTGACTCACTATTCATCTCAATGATATTAGTATGAAAATGCTATTATCAAAACTCACAGCATCGCGAAGCGACGATAGTTATATGACACTGGTCATTGAAATAAATATACTATGGTATATAATATGTTATGTTATAATTTAAAACTTATAAGTATATAACGCCAGTGGCGTGGACACGATTTTGAAAGGGTGGGATCAAAAAAAAAGGACATAGCTAAATGGGAGGGGAAATCCCCCACCCTCTCAAAACTTTTTACTAAGATAATAAAAAGCCAATGGGAGTATCTGAGTATATTTTTTAGATTTTTATTTTTTTGGTCACAATATGAACTACTAATGATACTAACCTTATTTTCAATTTTTAATTCTTAGCTATAAAAATTAAAAAAATATATAATTTTTTAACTACAAAATAATATGTATAAGCTACTGGGAAATTTAAATTTTATAAGCCTCTCAAACGTTCCAACTAGATTCACTTTCCATACATAAAAGATGTAGAAGTTGAAAATTATTTCTACTACTTATACTATAGGTATCTGATAGATGGTTACAAAAACAATAATATTGTCATATTGGTATTTGATTTTACAACGAAGTGTGTCTTATGGTTGTTTGTATTTTTTTTATGCTTACCTATACATATTATGTTTAAAATATTTATAGTAGGTACAAAGATGCTTTGATTTTCAACAAGGGAAGTGACTAAGCGAGGAATATTAACGTTTTAATTAAAACGCAAATAAAAGCAATCAGCTTACTTATAATAATAATTTTAACCGTAATAGTTATGACAGTAATCGTTTTAAAAAATAGAATACTACTTTTAGGAATTTTCAACAGTTTTTAATAATTAAGTGAATTACACAAAATAATAATCAAAAGTTTAAATTAAATCAAAATCAAAATTATAATTAGTAATTACCTATTCGCAAACAAATAAAAATAATAATAATAACACTAATAAGTAATAAGTAATACGTAATACATAATTAGGTATATTATTTTATATAATATACATTATACAATATTACAATTTACAAAATACTTAATATATAGCTATGGTAGGTATATAATATAACCTATATAATATTATTATTATGAACACGAGCAGGACATTACGCATCGCAATGTAGAACTAAACTCGCTCAAGGAAATACTAACTGAATAATAATGGTAGTCACTTGTTAAATCGGAATAATTTCACGCGACCTCTCACTTATATTATAATAATAATTCGCGAACAATAAATTATTGTTCATTTTGCCATCGGAATCGCAGGTGGTCAAATGATTTTGTTGTATGGTTTGCGGGGGAGGGGGGTTGATTTCTTAACATACATACTATTTGATCATTAAAAATATAATTTTTAGTTATACCGTTTTAACGTTTTAAGACTACCATTTTAATATAATATAAGTTATAAATATTGAAAATATAAAGGTCAAACAACCCTCCCCCCACCATCCGTTTGATCACCATTCACCACTAATCGAAATGGGTACGATGTTTCCAGACGTTGTAACAAAACGAAATAATATTGGTGATGTTAACAATATACAATCGTCGGGAAGAGGTTTGCGAGCCGAACGTCAAACGTGTATCCTGTGTGGGCCATATAGCATATCGCATAGGTATGAGGTCGGTGAACCAGAAACTGCCGTAATCGAACCCAAAACCGTTTCCATATCATATAATTGTTCACTATAAAAAAAATAACACAATAATTGATAATCATAAACTTTGTAAATCGTCCGATTATAGGGGTACCTTGGCAGATCGGTACTCGATCAATAATTGTTAATTAATAAAGTCGAAAGACTGCATTCAATGTAAACGGATACATTATTTTAAATAAACAATAATTAAATAGCTAAACAACTATAGGTATACTAGTTAGTAGCTGATACCGATTATAGTCTCAACATATTATTATTATTATTTATCGAGAATCTGGCTATATGTAGTCTGAAAAACATCGACTTATGCTAACTTACAAACCACGTTGAATATTCACCAGTTCTTGTCCGATTAGTGAAGTTAACCAACGCCGACGTAGTTATAGCAGTACTTGGATGGATGACCGCTACGTGCAGTTGGAATTCACTTGTCTCTACTGTCTTTAATTTTTAAAAAGCTTTAATTTAGATTTTGTACTTTTCATATTATATTATATTTGTAAAATTGTTTGTTTGGTACCCCAGGTTTCAATAATTAGCGCTCCCAATTTCACCGAGCAATTAATTTAACAAATCGCTTTTTAAACAGACTATATTGTGATCTGGAATTTTGTTTATTTATTCAGTCGCTTTAAAGAAATAAACACTTATAAGACCAAATATGTCTGTTTTCAAATAGAAAAACTTAATCTTGAATAGTTGAATAAATTATTTCTATAACTGTTAACATTTTAATTTTTTTCATTTATTATTATTATTTTAACTGTCTGTTTTAAGGATTCAATTAAACGTATTTTGGAAAAAATAAACGAGCATATATTGTTTTATATTATATGCATATATTTATATAACACATCATAACTTATACAATATAATATGTTGTATGTGGGCGATAGCCCCCCAAGGGGTTACAGAACAAATTATTTTAGTACTCCAAACTTTACACCTAATGTGTGCCTATGGCATACAATTGGCCTATGGTACCGAATAGGTATATAATATTATAGAAGTAACATTTAGTCAGATTTAATCTTTTGGGATTGAGTTTACCGGACACCATATGTATTTTACAATGTAGATTGAATGTATATATAGTTGGTTATATTTTATATTATATAACTTATATGTTAGGTTCTTATTTTAATTATAATTATAGTATATTTATAAACAAGGTGCTGCAGCAAAAATTAATATTAATATGTGATGACTATGAGTATAGGTATAATTGGTTTTGTTTCGTCTTTTTTCGTCCAATTGTCGTATAACTGCTCATGAGAGTAGATTGAATAAATATTCGTTATTACCAAATATAATAATATAACATAATATTAATTATATAATTTTTATTGCCAGTCTCATACTACACCTCAAATAAACCGCTGCGTGGCCCAATTTACCGATAAAATTGCTTATATAGGTATAATAATAAAACATCTTAAAAAATCGCGTTTTCTACGACGAGCCATTTTGAACTTGATCAATACCTATAACCGGAAAAGTATACTGCAAATTATAAACTAAAAGAGCACTCGTCATTTAATGATACCTGCAATAGAAAGATACCTATAAGATACCTATGGACTATGAGCCAATGACGGACTGACGTATCAATGTAATAAATGTACTACCATAATGTGTATTATAAAATCGAATATAATATAGCTTTGATCATAGAGTGTTATGTTTTTCACTTGTTGACGACTAGTGGATCACTATTGTGGATTCGTCAGACTGGTGATTATGACACTGATATCCGTAATGTGTTTTCCATTTGTAGTAGTCTATGCGTCCGAGTGGCAGTTGCAACCACACTTAACCTTTTTGGCTCCGCATTCGGGACGGGCTTTTGGTGGTGAACTCGAGCTGGCACATTTCGATTTTTCCTGGGTGCAACGGCCACGTTCTGAAGGTTCTTTTGCGGGTGCAGGGCAGAATAATGAGGCTGGAAGGAGTGCAGGGCACAAAGAGCCAGGAGGATCGGTTGATGGACAGGTCGGTGGACAAGTTGGTGGACAGGTCGCCACCTTAGCCGATGGACAGGGTGGGGTCGACCGATTAGTCGATGGACAGGTGGGGTTCGGCCGATTAGTCGGTGGACTGCAGGAGTTTGTCGGCTTATTAGTCGATGGACATGTGGGGTTCGGCCGATTAGCCGGTGGACTGCAAGTGTTGGTCGGCTTATCAGTAGGTGGACTGCAGGTGGTGGTCTGCTTATCAGTCGGTGGACAGGTGGGGATTGGCCGATTATTCGGTGGACTGCAGGTAGTGGTCGGCTTATCAGTAGGTGGACTGCAGGTGGTGGTCTGCTTATCAGTCGGTGGACAGGTGGGGATTGGCCGATTATTAGGTGGACTGCAGGTGGTGGTCGGCTTATTAGCCGGCGCAGGACATATTTTGGACGTCGAACGTTTAGCTGGGGGACAGGCGCAGGTCGACCGATTTTCCGGTGGACTTACGGTGGTCGGACCTACTCGTTGCTTTACTTCTGGTTCGGTCTGCTGACATGAGTCTCGCTTGCACCCTCCGTTGGTTATGACCGTCCCGAAGTTGATGATTATCTGCGAGGATACCACGTCTTCCGGTACGGAATTTCCTTTCGGCTTTTCGGGGGCGCAGGGTTGCGTTGTACGCTGCTGGTTTTGGTTCTGTTGCGGACGCACGTCGTTGACTTTGATCCATTCCGGGATCGGTTGCGATTTCAAGAAATCGCATAGACTCATTTGTTTAGGGCGTTCCGCTTGTCCGCCGCAATCATTATTCCGTGGTTTCGTTGCCACCACCGGGGCTGCTGGTTTTTCATCACATTTCGATATCAGTTTGCAACAGCATCGGACCGACATGCATTGTGTGTTCTCATCGTTTTGTCCCATCTTTCTGTTCGTTATATTTTTTGGGGTGTAAGTGTTACGTACCTATATACAGTTAAATTTCGTTCAATTATCCAGCGAATGTCGTTTTATATTAGTAATTTGTTTGTTTTTTTTTTTAAGTAGATACTATATGTATTATTTCTATAGCAACATAATATACTATTGTGTATTTTGTTTAGAATGCTAAGCCTCAAATAACGGTATGATATTATACATTTATACATTTCCCTCCACTCCACCCCACGCATATCAAAATGTGCAAAAATGAAAAATAGTTTTGAAATTACGCGTTATTGTAAACCGTTTTATTGTGTATACCTATATACTAAACTACTAAAAGTGCCTTAAGGTTTGTAACGGCAATGACAAAGTTTTTTACAGTAAAACGGCAACGGTGTTTGTACAAAATGGTGATTTGTCGTAGATAGGTAATACATTTTATAAATATAGTATAGGTAATATATTATATATATGTAAGAATTAACAGATATAAGTACTGTAGCCAGTAGCCAGTAGGTATATACTGTATATTTATATTATACAGGTAGTATGTACATGTACATGTAAACGACGAGTTAAGGCAGAACAATATTGCGGTGGACTGTGATTTTAACTTGGTTCATCTATGTATGTCTTATGGCTATTGGCTATATTATATTATATATCAATACTGGAAAAGTTCCTTTAAAAAAGGAATTAGTTCGTTCACGGTAGTTCATCTTGTTAAAAAGAAACTAATTTGTTTCTCGTTCCTGGGCCCTGGCTTAAATAAAGGAAATCGTTCCTTTCCTAATTCATAAATAAAGAACATTTTTCGTTCATCAGTAATTTTAAAATTGTTTTAATATAATTTGTTGTTAGTAATAAATTGCTTAATTATGTAGTCATTTTATTTTTAAAATGTTTAATTTGTTTGTTTCATACAAGTTAAGACCGATAAGACAACCGTGACTAACTTGACATTTTGTAAACATTGTTAATATAATCGTAAGTATATTGTAGTATATAGGTTTAATAAAATAGCTCATTAGTTAGATTTTAAATAGGTAGGTACCTACTTAAAGAGAACGTCACACCCTCATGTGTTGCAGTCTTCGTCTTACACACGTACCTATATGGCATAGACAAAACGCGTTTACGCAGTCTGAGTAGAGCTAGCTCAATTTTGGTGTTCGAAAAAAAACACCTAATACAAAATTAAAAGATGACAATATTTTGGAGGGGAAGACCGTGAGTAATTAAAAAAAATTAAATGTAGAAAAGTTAAAGGTCATTTAAAAATGTTGAAATTTTCACTATTTCTAAAATATAATGAACGTTATTTTGGGAATGAATATTATTGTCCTCAGAAATATTGCCACAATTCAATTTTATAATAGGTATTTTTACTCTTGAACCAAAATTGATCGAGTTATACTCATACTGCATAAACGCGTTTTGTCTATGTGACTATGTCGTACGCGTGTAAGCGGAGACAACACATGCGGGTTTCCTCTTAAGTTTGAAACTATATAAGTCTAAAAGCAATTCTAACAACTAACAACTCAATATTAAATAAGGAAAATACAATATATTACTGAGTTATAGAGTCTATAACTCAGTATATACAGTGTTTTTTTTTTGTATAATTAGTACCTTTATGTACCTACCTATAACCTATACAATCAAAACATGGACCTATCAACTAGGTAGATAGTTCAAAATAAAACTAAAATAATAATTAAGTGATATAAAAAGACGGAGGGAAGTAGTCACTCTGCTATATAGAAAATCCGAGTATACCATGACCATGAGTAAGTCAAGATAGTAAAGTAGTTCAATGATATAATATCATTGTATATAAGAATAACGATTCTGAGTGAAGACGGTCAGTCAGCCTATGATATTAGTAATATCATATTACTAAGTATATTTGATGAAATTATTGTGAATAAAGTAATTTATATATAACCTATTTACTTGGAATCTTGTTTTAAATTTTCAATCCTTAGATATAAAAGTTGAAAATTTTATAAATTTTGAACTACAAAATAATTATTACATTTTATCAAAATTCGAACTTAATTTTATTATAAAAAAATTGTGCCTATGTGTTTTTAATATTTTTCCACTGCTATTGTAACAATATATCAGGAGCCTTGTATTAATTTTTCATGCTTTTTGACCCAATAAATAAATTATTTATAGAAAAAAAAAACGGCTCCGTAAACAGCTCAAAATGGTTAAAATTATTTTGAAACATTTATCAAGTATAGGAATTGATAAAATAAACATTCAGTGAAATTTTCATGTATCTACGGTTATTCGTTTTTGAATTACAAGTCAAAATAACAAAATCGCTAAATGAGAAATCTAGTGAATATCCAATATTAAAAAATATAATATGAAGTCCAAACGCTCATAAAAATTTAATTTGATTTGTTTGTAGCCTTTTTTTTTTATAAAGGTAGACAACCTTATGAGGAATCTTGTTACCTATGTTACATTTTAAAATCTTAGATTTAAAAAGATTAATTTTTATGAATTTTACGTATTTTGTCAATATTTGAACTTTAAATGTTATAAAAAAAAAGTTGTGACTTGTGACTATGGATTTTTAATATTTTTTATCTGTCTTTGAAACATTATATTAGGAGCTTTCTATTAATCAACAAATAACATTTTATAAAATTATACTTATTAGAATATGGTGCAGTAGTCGATACTATTTTTAGTGTTAAGGATTTTAAACGAATACAATTTGCTAATTAGTAATTTTCAATAATTAATAGGTAGGTATTCAATATTAATCAAATACAAATTTATAAAAGCCGAAAATAAGTACTGCACACTTTTAAATTTGTTACTGCACATTTAATATTAGCTACTGCACGTCTGCACATAGTGTGTGTTACTGTACACCATTTTAGGGCCTGCAGTATTACTATCTACGTCTGTAAGTACGTTTTTAAATAGTTACATATACGACATAAATATAATATTATGCGCATTCAATGGACATTAAATCCCAATGTCTATTGTGCAGTGCAGAAAATTTTTATTTCAAACATTATGTGAACTGGTCAACCGGAAGTCGAGATTACATAATGTTATGGTAAAAATGTGTTCAACTTTTTGTCTATATACGAGTAATCTGTATTACCTATATGCTATAGGCTATAACGTATAAAAGGATTTATTTAGTTCAATATATTTAGTAATATAATTTAGCAATAATAGGATTGTGGAAGGAGGGCAGTTATCCTTGGGTGCCGGATTTGCACTCCTCGACTTCCACTCCTCGCTATATGCTCACCCTCTTATATGCGTAGTAATGACCATGGATATAATAATGATTTTGACTTGTGCTATTGTATTGTTGTGTACCTTCATATAAAATACTTAATACATGATAGGTATAAGTTATATTATATTATTTTAAGTTATAATATTCATTTAATGACACATACATAATTAATGATACATTTATTCATAAACTATTTGTACAGTTATTATAATAATTACTTATAAGTTATAATAATAGCTAGGCAATAATAAGTTTTATAATAATGTTAATTTTATAAATACGTTGCAAACTTGGAACCTACAGGCTACGAGTTATATCCTTATATAACATATTATTATACACATATTATATTATTACATTAACGGATGCATATTATGCTTTGTAATGCAAGAGGCGGTCAACCGGGTAAAAAAAAGAGAAGGACAAAAACCGCATACCGCTGGCGCGGCAAAAAACGCGAAAACGTACAAAGTGGTAGGCATTAATATCCGCGGACGAACGACAGCGCGTGCGCAGTGGACCGTCTACAGAGAATGCATCGTACGCACGTCCTGTCTCAGTTTCCTGCGTCAGCTGCTGCAGCCGTTGCACTCTGCCGCGCTAACGTCAACAGATCGAGTGCGTTCTTATCACTCATTCACTGGCCAAAACCTATTTTTACGATTGCGAAAACAACGATAATAATAGTAAATAATTAAGCGGTTGTTATAATAATATTATAATATCATTCTTGTGTATCCGTACCGAATATTGTAATTATTAGTATAATAATATTATCACTGCGAACTTGCCAAAAAACAAATGTATAAATAAATAATAATAATAACAACGTCGTATTCTTATCGTTTCCACGATCGTACCCCTCCCACCCGACCGACCTCGACGAAACCGTCGACGGCAGTTCGTACGATAATAATAATATTGTCGTCGTCGTCATTTTCGAATCACTCTCGGCGACTTTTGTCCGCGTCGTCCGGCAGATGTGTTGCCTACGTACGTTTTATTAGGACGCGCCGCCCAGAAGGACGTTTGTCGTCGACTCGTCGTCGTCGTCGATGTCCAAACGCGGAAGCCGTATTTTATCGCTACTCGTAGATAGCAGACAAAGTTCGTTGTTCATCGACCAATTCGACCGATAGGTACCTAATAAAGCATCGACATTTAGTAGGTATTATGACTTGCGGGCCACCGCTTGGCGACCATTGTTACCGACGGATATTCGGCTGGCCGTCGGTATTCGTCGCCGCACCGGGCACACTAAATAATATATCACACGTCGCATGAATATCGCTTTTTGTTGTTGTTGTCATTGCTATAATATAATATTATAATTGCGAGGCGCGTATTTGGACTTAAACGTTATCAACTCAATGTAAGTACACCTACCTACAAGCTTAATTGTTTGTTGCACTTTTCTTTGTTTTTGTATCTGTACCGTGGCTGCTCTCTGCGAATTCAATTCAAACCACTAATTCATCACTGCTGTGATAACTAACACCAGCTCAGACTCATAACACTAACTCTAACACCAACTCATGTTAGGTACCCACTTGAAACTTTTCAATAAGTACATCCTTGTGCATTTTCATTTTTACACCTCATTTCCAACAAATTAAGTGTCTGCAATATATAACCGGTTAATCATTGTTAATAAAAATTTACTTATACATTTACCCAAATCATATAATATAGGTAATTAATAGCCAAGGGTCTAACTAGGATTTGGTTGTTGACCCCCTGTACCTAGGCAGAGTAGATACTGAAAAATCAAAGTTAAAAATAAGCGTGGAATCAGAGCTTCTTTTACCCCATTTCTCCATCTGTCATTAACAATATAGTTCTTAAATAAGACATTAACAACAACATTTTATGTATCAGCTAACAACTAATGAACAAAATATAATTTAATTACAGTCATCAATGTGTAGTCCGACCATATATGTATTTAAAGACAATAACTTACCATTTGTTGGGCTGCCTTTTGTAATATTTGAAGGGAAAACATAAAATGATTACCTACATACTGTATTTCTATTTTTTTTTTTTTAATTAACTAGACTGCTTCAAAAATTGGAATAACCACAACGCAAAATATTAAGTATATCATTATTCATTTATATTAAATATTAATATAGCTATATAGGTTGGTATAATAACTAATAAGTATGTTAAACTTTCTTATACTTTGCATATACTTTATAGTTGATATATACAAATATAACTAGGTATGATAGCTTAACTCATAAATTGAATTTTATAAATCCATAAAAAAATTAGGTAGGTACTTTTTATAAATATTATAAATAACATAAGTTTTTACAACTAATAATAATTAAACCAGTAACAAAATGTATTGTATCCCTGATTTTTGCTAGGAATTGGTATAAATTCTATAGATAGATCTTTATAGAAACTAAATAAGCCCTATTCACTTCATAAGTACATTCTAACCATGCCAATGAAGCAATTTGTAAAAAATTTAAGTTCATTTCAAGGCTATATTTTTGAAAATAATCTATAGGTACCTACCTACTACTTTTTATTAAAATATATTTTGTTGAGTATTTTGTTTTGTTCATTCTAAAATATTACAGATTTTGTTTAGTTTGCATGCAATTCAGGTATCCTTTTTGATTATCAGAAAATTACTATTTTCATATACATTTCATAAATAATTATTAAATTGTATATCAGATAAGACTTCTCGACGTGTACATATGACTAGTGTTTTTCATTGAATGTCAATTAAATTGCTCATGAAACTACACTTTCTAATTTGTTCGTTTAATTGTTAAAATATTTCTAATGAACCTCTGGATCCTTATCTCAGAAAATGACATTGGCATTTGAAAAATTTAAAAAATAAATATTAAATAAAATAAATTAAACCAAACAAAAATAACTCATTAATCATTATTTACAAACATGGAAAAAAATACTTAATTTAATTAATTCCTTGATTATCTTAATTATGGATGCATTTTAAAATCAATTCTTATCTATTAAGTAAATAATTATTATGATAATTAAAATGTTTATATTAAATTAAACAATAAGTTTTAAAATAAAAATCAATTAATTTGGTGAGCTTAACCTAGCTGATTCTGCCATTATAACAGTGTGCATTACGAAACTAGTCACTCGATTGCAGCTCACCTCATGGCCATTTCTCTGTAGTGTTTCTTAAAATTATCATAGAAAAGCACGGCAAGTTTGAATTGTTAAATACTATACAAATATTATTAAATATGTTTAATTTTTTTAAACCCCTGAATACCTGAAAATTTACCACGAGAAGTGCTGCAATCGATTGCCTAGTTTCGTGACGATTTATGTAGGTAAATAACAATTTATTGTTTTGTATATAAAATTGTTATTTTATAGATTTTTTAGAACCCTCATGCTTTAAAACTAACTATCTGTGTTTATTCAATGCTGTATTATAATGATTTTCTCTATGGTAATAATTTATATGGAACAAATCACAGTTACTCAGTTACTAGCAACTTATATATCTTAAATCGTGGTTACTAGCATGAACTAAGATAATATGGACTGGCGACGGTGTTTATATCTGCGGTCAAGTTATTCAACGGTATTTCCTTAGGGGGAGAAATTTAGCTACTAAAACGCTATCTATTTGAAAGCATTGACACCATGCCCTAAGATAATTTGCCGACCAGCGAATAAACTGAACACAGTTGAATAGTTGATACTCGGTAGTTCATAAAAATAACACTACAATCATTCGGTTGCAAGATTTCCCTCTCTACATAAACTACGTTTTAAAACCTGACCGCACCACTACCACCCGCCCATCATTTCACCACCAGTCCATATTATCTTAGTTCATGGTTACTAGATACCTAACCTATTTCTTTTAATGAAAAATATAATAATAGAACATCATTAACTAAACATTGACTTTTACTCGTTGCCCCTTTGTTTGCTGTCATTTTATACTTCTATGGGTACTTAAGTATTTATGAATTAATATGCATTTTTAACTAATCCTTTTGTTTCAAAAATAATATAATTATATAACTATTAAAAATCCAAAAAAAACCAGTAATAAATTAATACTATTTACCAATTTTTTCTTATTATTTGGTTTTCTAAAATATTTTATCATCTTAAAGTTTATTGTTGTCACTGATTTTCGAGCTGACTTTTGACTAAGTAGTTAAAAAATTAAAAAACGACATTGTGATCTAGGTAACGCCATTTTAATAATTTTATTTTTAAATTTTTATTTAACTGTACAATTTTTGTTACATTGCAAACTTAAATTGTACCTATTTTTGATCTAGACATGTATGGATTGGAAGCAAATAATTCAAAAACATAGTCGTAAGATCTTGAATAGAATAAGTATGGACTTGATGTTAGAAGCTTATTTAACACACGAATCAAGTCTCATGGATTTAGAAGATATACCACAAACAGTTGATCCTGTATGGATACTAGGAAAAAAATATAGTACAATTATTGGTAATTAAAAGTTATACGTTATTATTTTTATTTTAAAAAATATCTAAAAAACCTTTCCTCTGAGAAATTGTAATATATTTTTATTGGTATAATTTCTTGTTACAAAAAAGTAACATGATAGTATCCACCTAAATAATTCTGAAAATATTTTTTTATGAAATAATGTTATTTTTATGTTAAGCTTCAGGTTTTAGTGAACCTCGAAACAATGTGATTAACCTTTAAATAAGTATTTCATCAAATTGAGAATTCTTTTGGTTTCCTTCTACGTTAAATTTCTTAGTATACATTAAATCTCTAAGAGGACGCACCACTCGCATACATTGTTTCTGCCTTACATATTAGTATTGGATTCTTACTAGTTTATTTATACTTTATAGTTAATATTACAGTAAATTTATATGTATATATTATAGACCATACCTCTTGAACCATTTTTAAAACATGTCTATTTAGATTTTTAATGTACTTAATCCCTAAATAAATATTTTTATTCATTATCAGTATTCAATAGACTAGTGTTTAATTACTGTTACTTTTCAGACATTATCCATATTTTTATAGAAAAATGGCAAAAGTTTTTTTTTTACTTTTTTTGTCAGAATCAAAATATTGTACAATATATACAATTAATTTATTAAAGCAAATGAAAGATGATTTTATAATCTTGAAGTCCTTTGTATTCTAAATATTTTATGGTTTATTAAGAAGATTAGTTTGGAAAACTAACAAATGTTTTAAACAAATGATTAAAATTACCTAATATTGTTTAGTATTTATATAATATTATTATGTACACTTTTTTATTATGCGCAGATTTACAACAAATTCGGAATGATATTCAATCCAGATTATGGTTTACTTATCGGAAAGGTTTTGTTCAAATTGGCAATACAAATTTCACCTCAGACAGAGGTTGGGGATGTATGTTACGATGTGGACAGATGGTTATAGGGCAAGCTCTAATTTTTTTACATCTTGGTGAGTTATTGAAGTATTTAAGTGTAAATTTACATTCACATTTTACAATATAAAATATCATAATTTATTGGTTAAACTGTTTTCTAATTAAAAATATCTAAATTAACATAAAATATGTTGTATGTAATTTACCTATTAGCTATTTAATATTTGGATATTTAATATATTCTAAAAAATCTATTATAAGAGGGCGTCGTACCCGCATATGTTGTCTCCATCTTACACATGTACGGCATACCAAATTTTTGTTCAACAGTTTCAATAGTATGATATTAGTTTTGATATTAAAGTGAATAAAAAGTTATAAAATTTAACGTTATTATCTAGGGCACGACGTAGACTTCAATTGATATTATTATTTTTAAGTAAGTTATGATCATATTATTAAAATATACAGTTTCAAAAATGTCATAACTGACTTAAAAATAATAATATCAATAGAAGCCTATGTTGTCGTGCCCTAGAAAATTATCTTGCCTTTAAATTGTATAATAGTTCAATTCACTTTAATATAAAAACTAACATCACACTATTGAAACTGGTGAACGAAAATTGGCCATGTTGTACGTGTGTAAGACAGAGACAACACATGCGAGTACAACTTTTTAAATAACTCAGGTATGCTGATTTTAATATATTGTAATTAAGGGGGCTGGAGCGTGATTAATTTTCAGTGGAAAACATAGCTCACGACTTCAATCACTGCTCCCAATATAATCATCTGATATTAATTTTGAAAGCAGATTTGAATTTGTCACTAAATTATCTATGCTTTGACAATTTCATTTTTCTGATTTTAATTTTTTTTTAATTAGACATTTACTAACAATGAAAGTAAAAATAGATCATATTCATAATTAAAATTTAAATACATAGATATAGAATATGAAAAATGTACCACAGTCAAAGCATAGTAAATTTAGAGGAGAATTCAAATTTGCTTTCAACACATTCACAAAACCCATATGAACTAAAATATAAAATGCCTAGTTTTTACTCCTTAGAATGGATTACGATCCAGCCCCCTTAACCAGTCGAGCCTAACATTTTAGCTAAGTATTTACCCAACATTTATTTTTAACTATATTTAATTTAAAATTTATGAGCAATTCATAAAAAGTTGAAATTTAGTGTTCTTCAAGAGTAAACATTGCTGACTTTTTTATTTTATACAAATAAATACTTCGGTATACATTAAAAAAACATTACCATTGACATTTTTTATAGATATTTATATATTGTTATAAAGTATCTATAATACTTAAAAACAATTTTATCTTGGATAGGTACTTTCTTAAATATATAATTCAAAATTGAGAATTATTTTTTTTTAAATTACGTTACATAAATATTGTTTTTAATTTATTTATTTTTACATTTAATGAAGAATATTACAACTTGTGATTAAAATATAAAAATAATTATTGCAAAGTACAAGACGTATGTGTTGAAAAATGTACGTTATATCCCCTGTCATATGTATGTGTTATAAGTGAATGAAGCTGATGGACTGAGACAACCAATTGTAATATTTTTATTTTCATTTCTACTGTATTAGTAGGTCATCTTAAAACGCTTTATTGACTATAAATTGCAAATGTACAGTATATTTAAGGCTCACATTGTGTGTGGATCGAGAAGTTTCTCTAAAATGCTATATGGGTCAGTATGAAATTTGGGGAAACATTTTTGATTGTTTACTTGTGTTTAAAATAAATATTTGCTGTGTCCTATTTTGGTTGTTGCTGTTTGAGTAGCTACACTGCTTAACCGTATTCTTAGTTACTCGTGAGTAGGTAAAGGTTTATCACTGAAAAGTGTATATACACCAGTGGTGCTCAACGTAATTGATTATCTACGACTCTGAGACTTTGTTTTAGCCGTATTTTAATATATTTTTTTAATAATGATAATAAAGTAAAATTGTTTTTAATTTTGATGTACAAATAAATAAAGAATTTAATTTATATAATATATTAAACATTAATATATGTTTTTAAATGACATACATTTTTTAATATTTACTTATAAATGTATTTGGAAAATACAATTTTTTAGGAAGAGATTGGCGCTGGGACCCAGATAAGAGGGATATAGATTACTTAAAAATTCTAAGAATGTTTGAAGACAAGCGATCTGCACCCTATTCAATTCATCAGATAGCTCTTATGGGCGTATCTCATGGTAAGCAAGTTGGCGAGTGGTTTGGTCCAAACACAATAGCTCAAGTGTTAAAGTGAGTACTTGTTTGTATGTCAAAATACATGGCTTAAAAAATTATATAATATGTATATTATTATTGTGTAGAAAATTAGCCACTATGGATGAATTGAGCTCTCTTGTTTTTCATGTAGCATTAGACAACACACTAGTCATTAATGAAGTCAGTGAGTACGCAATATTTATATTAATAATTTTGTTTTCTAGTTAATAATACATTATTTTTTTTTAAACAGTACTTAATTATTTATTTTTTTAGAAAAATTATGTATTGTGATGGAACAAACTAACTCTAGTAAACAAATTTGGAAACCTTTGGTACTAGTGATTCCACTACGTTTAGGAATAAGTGCAATTAACCCTGCTTATGTTCAAGGTGTTAAAGTGAGTAATAATACATTTATTGAACTAGTTAACTAGACAACACAAATGTCGCCCACTGAACATATTTTGTCGCCTAGTGGACTGTATTTTTAAAGACTTGGTAGATACAATTTTTTAAAACAGATTTTTATACTACCTGTGTAAAAATAATATTTAAGGCTGTTGGAGCATAGCATATTTTAAGGAGTAATATTTAGGCAGAATATATACATGTATATTTGAACGGTGTCATTGTGTGAGTAGTGAATGAACATTAGTGTGTGTAATGCTTTATCTGGTCAATTATCAGGCTGTCGTACCACCGCGCACCGCCTACCTATCAGCTGTAATACGCGGGTATTCTCAGAACTTATTTATTACGATGATAATAACCAAAATAAACTATGTTTATTATTTATACATATTTTATCTCCGTGTTTTCAAAAGGTCATAATGATGTTTCAATATAATACTAATTGCATATTAAAAAATTAAAACAAAACAGAAAAAAAATTTTAGATTTAAAAAAAAATTTTAAACTATAGATCTATGTCAATTTGGTAAGCGCAAAGCGCAAGCGTTATTTTTTATTATAATACTCACTATTCTCGGCTCTTTCAAGTCGCAAAAATTCACAGTACTAAATAATTCAATCACTTTATTGTTTCATAATCATTATTATATTACATTATATTTTTATACAAATAATTTAAAAAGTAATATTACAAACCATCTCTGATAGGCAACCCACGGTCATATCTCGAATCAATTAATTCTAAAATCATGCTATTTATATAGAATGATGACAATTGGGGTTTCATAAAATTGACCCAAAAATTATCATCTCTGAATATTTTTTCGTATAAAATACCTATTATTTGAACAAAAAATTATTAAGTAATTTAATGAATAAAAAATGTTTGTAGAAACTAGAAATGTTATTTACCTTTTGGAGTCCAAATACAAAAATAACAATAATCTCTTCGTGAAATATGTAATGCCCCTTGAATTTGATAGTAATAATTGTCATTTTTTTTTAAATGTAGTGTTTTATTATTTTTCAATACACAACATTTAATTATTTTGTTTTCTATTGCTTCTTCTGGAGATACACTTTTGGCACTAGATGGACATTTTATTTCCACTAATCCATCATCTCCGATAAGTCCATCTGGAGAGGCAGCCAAGTAGAATTGTTCACTATCTACAAATAATCCCGATGGCTCAATATTGACGCCCAAAATATTTGCTAATTGTTCTTTTGCCACTTCTTCGTGTTCAACTCCATATTTTGTTGCTAAATTTCCTTGAAACGTTCCGTATAATAACGCTTCTATAGTTTTGGCTCGTGATGTTGTTTTTCTTAACTTACAGATTTTACCAAAAACGGATGCTGTTAATCTAACAAAACATAAATAGCTCATAAAACAACTTTAAATTATTATGTATAACTAATTAATTTGGACGTAATAATGCATAATACCTATAATTATAATCAAATATGTCAAACCTTTTTTTACGTTCTCTATGCCAATCTTCACACTCATGTTGCCTCTTGGTACTCTTCTCTAAGGCAATAATTTCTTCTTTTGTAAGCTTCAGAGTATTTAGATATAGTATTTTTTTATCATTTAATTCTGATAATGATAAATCTGGATATGAATCAAGGTCAGGTTCAACTGCACCATAATTCTCATCGGGACCAACTAGTATTTTTGTTTTTAACCGTTGAGCTGCTGGGGCAAATAACTTGCGTCTCCGTCTAGAATCTGATAGTTGCATACTTTTTTTTATGTACCTGTTTAGGAAATATACATAATACTTATGTTAAATTATTTATATTCGTATAACTATAATTTAAAAAAATTTTCATTCACCTTTTTGTGAATAAACCAGGACTTTTTTGAGCAACTTGTTTGTGAAATAACGATAAACGATTAGCTCCTACGTTATAAGCAGTAACTGCGGCATTACATCGTAATTCGTATGAACCCCGGAGACACAAATTCACTCTTTTACCTCCAACAAATTTGGCCAAAATAGAATTATAATTTTCTGCTGCATTATTATTTAAATTAAACATAAGGCTTTCTGTATGATATGTTAAAGCACTTCTTATTGAACCTATATCATCCCATAGGCCCACTCGTTTCATATCTGGAACGTAATTTTCTTCGCCTAGAAAAAAAAGTAATAACTCTAAGTATAATATACAATATGTATATGTACATACAGTATGTACTTTATAATAAGTATCCATATAGTATAGATATAATATATTAAATATTCATACCAATGTGTACCACAGTTTAATTTTTCTAAAACACCTAATACATTCATTGGGTACATTTTTATTTAAGATAATATTTTATTTTCAATAATGAATGTTCTATATTATTATATTATAATTATTACTATACCTACCTAAATCTTTCCTTGTGCAAAAATAATCACTGCAATTCTCATGATCACCGAATACATGGTTGGGGCTATTGACAATATCTTTCTTCAGCATTTTAACCGAATCCTCATACGAAATATAATTTTGTTGTTTTCTGTATTTTACCGCCTTTATAACAGCAGCACGAAGTCGTTCGACTCGACTAACTAATAAGTTGCGCATACAACCTGGTACACTTTCGCCTTTACTGCTTTTTTTTTTTTTTGAAAGTTCGTGAAGCTTATTAATATAGTTCCTCAAAATATGGTTGGAACATTCTATTTTTTTAATTACTATATCAGGACCATAGGGTTTCGCCAATCGTAAACGTTTTATGACATTACTATCGCCATCTCCTATATTATACATAATAATATGTACAGTGTTTATCAAACACGAAATATATATTATAATATAATAATGTTATCCTTAGTACTTACCAATCATTCGATTGTATATTAAATTATGCATATCTAAGCTGTTTTTAAAACCTTCAACTATAATGTCTGCTTCCATTGCAGTTGAAGGCGAATTCCAATTTTTAAAGCATAAGTGATCTTTACTTTCGATTCCTAATGTTGATGATCTATGACAAATACAACAGTATTTGTTTCTTATGCCTATGAATAAAATTTTTTTGGTTCTTTGGCCAACAATACAAGCCTGAAATTATATTTTTAAATTTTAAAATGATGACAATTTTATAAATCTTAATTATAATTACTACTCCCGATGACGCGTTGTAGTTTCTTTTATAAGATCTTTTACTCCAAGCACCATCTGTAATCACTGCTATTTTAGGGCGGCCTTGTAAATCTACCTCTCCTTTTTCGATAGCCAATTTTGCCTCTTCTTTACCAGCAGCTGCCATCTCATTCCAAGCCAAATCATACATGTGTTGGTAAACATCATTATGTACATTTTGATATGTACGATTACACATATTCGGCATATTAAGGGTAGCGCAAATCTCATCCATTTGAGAAAAACCTTGACCAACATTAACCATTGCCGTCACCATAGCCATATTAATATTCAAATCATTTGTTTTAGGATCTTCATTATAAATATTTTCATTTATTCCACAATTGTTACATTTAAAAACAAATTTACTTATAAACCCATTTCTTGTTTCATTCACTAAATGTAAATCACGAAATGAACAATCGAAACCCTTATGTCGAATAGATTGAATGGACGTAATGAAAAACTGTATATCTATAAGTCTTCTTCCATTTAGTTCACAGGTCCTAATTATACAAATATTATCGTTTAATAAGTGTAAAGAATTTTTAGAATCATAGAAAATGTGTACATTTTTTTATATAATATAATATGTAGGCACGAAAAAAAGCGGGAAGTGGGTATGGGTGTGCTGTACAGTTGTATAGGTCTAGGATATTTTATATTTTTATTACCATTAGTAATTTATTTTACTGTTAGTACAATAGTATATTCGTCTACGTTTGAATTTAAAATGACTATAAAAAAAACTATGTTAATATAATATTAAGATTTTTTTGGTTCCAAATGAAATACTTATGAAGAAACTTTTTATAAATATTCAAATTTTAGCTATACAAATTGCACGTTTTATAATTTTGTTACTATAAAATAGTTAGCAAATGTGATTTTGAAGAATTTTTCAATATTTAAACTCAAAAGCTTACAAAAAAATTTTACCCTATGCACTTTTAATATTTTTCAACTACAATAATTGTAACAATATATCAGGAGCCTTGTATTAAATTTTCACAAATTTTTATCCAACAAATAAAATTATATTGACAATTATAGAAAAAAAAACTAAACATGTGGGTAAGTGGATGCCGCTCTGAGGTACAGTAGGTTACATGTGGGTCACTGTAATGGATGGTATTAAATTTGAATTCAATGATATAATATCATTATATTTTAAGAACAACGATTCTGAGCAAAAACGGTCAGTCATATTTAAATACCAGTTACTTACTTTTCACTAATACATCTAGATAGACCTGGCGTACTATAGACCAGCTGGTGAGCTTCAATATTTGTATCAATATTTTTTGCCGTTGTATTATCTGGACTAGTTGCTACGTTCTAAAAGAATAACTTATATCTTTATTAAATCCTTATAATATAATCATCAATAGAATTAAAAAAATTGAAAATAGGTAAATAAAAAAAAAAATTTATTAATTAAAAAAAAATATAATAAATTGTATATTATTACTTGTTGGTAGTCGTCTGTAGCACTTTCGCATTTTTTAGTGTTCAAGTTGGCTAAATTATGTTTTAGTTTTTTCTTTGGAACAAATAATTTCCGACGACATTTTTTACCAAAATGCCAATCTTTACCCATTTTTGAAAAAATAACACAACTTCACAAAATATTACGCACAGAACAATATTCAACGATTGAAGACTGAAAAGTGATTGAGTGAACACAGAAATGCCAAACTAATAATCGAAGGAGACTTCACTTCCGGAGTAATACCTACTATTATTTCCAAGAACATTACTATATCCGTTCCTTATCGATCATTAGGCTAATGACACTGGTAACATGTCGTCTACGATTCTAAGAACAGTCTCACACAAGCACGCGCATGCACAGGTCACCAAATTGAATTTTTGAGATTTTTCCGTTTTTAAAATCGGTACAAAATAGCTATAAGAGAAAGATTTATTTAGTTACTTCCCATGACCCGATTTAAATTTTGAAAATAAGTCTGTATTCGATAACTATTTTACTAGGTTATGTAGGAAAAATAAATGATGTTTTAAAATTGAGTGTATGTGTATAAAATAAAAATACTTTCATAATTTTTTAAGCCTTATTGAATACAAAAATCAAAAATCTGTTTCCTACATAACCTAGAAAATTTGATGATGAGCTCATACATATTTTTAAAATAATAATCGGACATCGGGAAGTACATAAACTAATCTTCCGCTTATTGGTCTAAAACTACCAAAAATACGGTGTGCTCCAACAGCCTTAAGTAATGAATTCATGTTTAGGTAGGACATATTTTTATATTATCGATATTATATACAAAATGCATTTATTATAGTAGATTATGAAAAAATAAATTATAATAATAGTTTTACATTTATGACGATAAGCGTAAAAATTCCAATAATGCAGGAAATGAAAATGTTGGAAAATTTGTTTTAAGTAGTAACCGGTTTTAGGGTTTTCAGAATTAGTGGTAATTGATTACCAGTTACTAAAATGATCACTAAAAATGTAGTTACCGGTTATCGGTTTGGAAGTGTTTTAATTTTTCAAGATTACCGGTAACCACTAGAACGGTTTTTTCCATTTATGTTTTTCTGTAACATTTTACATAAAATAAATATCCACTTTATACAATTTATTCAGGGAGAGCTAAATTAAATAATAAATACCTATATGGATGAAATTACCCATTACTATTGATTGGAAAAGTGTTAACCAACATAAATAAATAATAATCATGTACTATATAAAAATCTGTGCCATACCTATGATTCATACTTATTATCTTGTAAATAAAATAATTAATCCGAAAAATAATCAATAGAACACAATTTCCAAAAAGCAAAAAAAAATATAATAATATAAAATAACGTTAATTTTTTGATATTTCCAGTTTTGTTGAATTAACCGGTTTTGAAAAAAAAAATGTTACAGTTACCCTCTAATTGAATTTGGCGGTTTCCGGTAATTGTTAATCACTTCTTAAATTTAAAATATATAAACCGGGAACTGGTTACCAGACCCAAAATAGGTCATGTAAACCAGTTTCCATTAAAAACTTACTATAGCTAATTACTATTAATTTTAGGTAGGAACTTAATGTGTTACTATTACAGTAATTTTAATTTAAGTTAATTAGTCTTTCTTTTTAATGTTTAGAATAAATAATGTTATAAGTATTGTTTATGACTAAGGACCAGAACTTGATGACCTAAAAATCTTTGAAAAATGCACACAAAAAATTTTTTTAAATGACAAATATCAAAAAATGACAACAAAAATATCAAAAATGACTTTATAATCACTTAACTTTTTTAAAAATTTAAATTTACGCTTTACAAAATTTATTACATTTTTTATAAAATGTATGTATCATAAATTGTAATTATTATAGGTGCTACCTCTTTAAAAATTTGTATTCTCAAAGGAGCCTTCAAAAATATTTTTTGTTGTTTGAAACAAGTTGATTGACTTTTCATTGACCGGCCAAAAAAAGTATCTGCTTACAGCTTATTAAATAATCGATAAGATAATGAAAACTTAATGTGTTACAATAAAGTGTAACTTTCAACAAGAAAAATGTAAACATAAGTAATAAAAAGTACAAAAATTAATAAAATGCACCAAAATTATTAAAAAAAAATGATCGTAAAGCATAAAATTCCATAAATATGCAAAATAAAAATTGTACCATTAATTTCTCTTTTCCATGAATCAAATGTTTGTAAAGACAAGCCTTGAATGTAAGCATGAGAAAAAAAGATACAAATGCAACAAGTTCCGGGCCCTAGTTATGACTAATAAATTTGTATGAGTTAATACATTTTTAATTATAATTTTAATCAATTTTAGAGTAAAGTTAGTTATTTCAAAAAAGTAATTTTACCTCAAATCATACAATATTTACCAAATTTACTAAAGGAATTATGCTTAAAAGGTTATTACCTCAATAAGTTTACCTAATAAGTCAAATAATATTATTGAGTTATATGAAGTTTATTTTGTTTGTGGAAGAAGAATAATGTTGTGGGTCTAGAATGAAAAGGTTCTAAATCGTTTTTATAAAATTGTCCGTGAGAGCATTTTAAGGTTTAAGTTCTAATATTTAACAACATTTTTTGAAAATGTATGTTCTAAGGCATACGGGGCATACAATTTTAATTCAAAACATTATAATAATTTGCTGCATTGGTAGTTGGTATACAAATTATAAAATGTTTAGTATGAAAAGGTTCTACAATATTAGAACCTTTTCACCCTAAAATAAAAAAATATATATTTAATTAGAACTTTTTCATTCTTATTCATTATTTTTAGCTGAATCCTTTTCAGAATAATGCTTTCTCATTGATACCAATATTCTAATATGAAACAATGTTAGGTATGTAATAATTATGAAAAATCGAAATCTGTATTCTTAAAATTCTGTTGAATATGCATAAATGTAATAATTATTAGGTACTATTAGTAGTGATTAGTTTAATTAGAATCTTTTTATACTAACGTATAGTTAATAGTTTATTTCATTATAGAGCGTTTTCAATTTGTTTATAATTTAATTTTTGGCGATTTAGTACCTTTTACTTTTAAAGAAATTGTCAATAATGATTGTATATAATTATGTTAGTTTAAAATATGCGCCTTTGCATTCTAAAACCATTTTAGTTGAAAAGTCACTTTTGAAAAAAATGAGATTAAGAACCTTTTCATCCTATACCTACCCACAATGTATAATTTTCGTAAAAAAATAATGATATATTATATTATTTAAAAACCATTGCCAACTTCATTTTAAAATGGATTTGGTCTAGACGGTAAAGGTTGATCATTTGGTGAAACGGGTCACGCTCATTCCCTTTTACCCGCTCGCAGTACATGTAATTTATATATTACATTTTCCATGAAATTATACATCTTATTTTAAATAATTTATAACTAATTTTTATTTACTTTTAGAATTTACTTCTACTTTATAGTATTAATATTTATTTTATAATAATTATGAGAGGCAAACATGAAAAAGTTCTATCATAATATATTTAATATTTATTTTGAGAAAATACTTTTTGTTGGCCAGAAAAAATTCCTTAAAACATGCACTGGTGAGTAGTGTTTTGATGTTTCTGAATTAAGATAACACATAGATTGTATTTTTCAATTTACAAATGTCCAATGTATATTTTGGATTTTATTTATAACTTATGAAGTTTAATTTCTTAGTTTATTTGGTTAGTGAATTTAAATGAAATTAGATTTCGCAAATGAATACCAATAATGTATTGGAACATTTGTTAAATTTGTGTTATTTTCTACAATATAGATTAATGTATACTGTAGTTCCCATATATTTTATATATTGATATCTACACGGTTTAATGTTAGTTACAATTCTCATAAAAATCATAAATAATTATTATTTAATTTATTGAGTGAAAAATATAAATGTTAATAAAATATAATATTTTGTATAATTTTATTGTGATTTTGCCATTTTGGAAAATTTAACAGTTATTTAAATTTTAATGACAATTGTTATGTTTTTGTTTCAGATGTGTTTCACTTTCCCACAATCCTTGGGTGTGATTGGTGGAAGACCTAACCATGCTCTATATTTTATAGGTTTCGTAGGTATATAAATAATTTTTAATTAATAATTTTGTTAACTATTAGTTTTGTTTTAGCTGACATCAGCAGTTATATAATATAGAGTTTTATTATAATATAAGTTTCATTTGGTTATTGTAAATTAGGCAATGATGTAATATTTTTGGATCCACACACAACACAGCAAATAGGAATGCTACCGAACAAAGATATAGAAACCGAACATAAAATTGATCATTCGTATCACTGCCAACAAATTAACAGACTACCAATCCTCAACATGGACCCGTCACTTGCCGCCGTAAGTGGCCTTTTGCTTTTACTGTCATAATTAGATACATAAAAAAAAAAATGGAATAACTTTTTGTTAACTTGTGGTCTCTGCTGAAAATAGTTAACACACTAAAAACAATTTTCTACAAATATTTGTTTTTATATTACTTTACATTTAGAAGCCCAAATTACAAGATAATATATTTAAATTTAATACTGATGATTTTTTATTACTAATTAGTTTTTAGCTTTTGGACATATTTACTTAAAGCTAACACCTGTGACTTAAGAGAAGTGGGTGAAAATTGGCATTTTGCATAATTTGATGAATAGAAGCACTGCCGCTTACACCATATTACATTTATCACATATTTTAAAATTATTTTTTTTCGAATTTGGTTTTTATATCCTCCTGAACATTTTTACAATTGTCGTTTATGCCATTTTGGCTTGGAACTATCAATATTAGCAGCTTCATCAAATTAATCTGTTATAATTTATTTTGTCTAAACCATGGATTTTTAATTAATCTTTTAATAAATTGAAAAGCTCTAAGAATGATGGCAAATTATTAGACTCTGTACGTAATCGTTTTTATACAGTACTGAAAACACATACTGAATGCAAATTGCCAGTTGGTCTATTGTACTTACATCTTGAATACTATCAATCATAACACTGCATTTTTTACAATTCTTTTATTTCTTATACAATTTTATCTTAAATAGCAGCACCTTAATTAAAGCACTTAATTTTTCATTAATTATGTGCTTTGATAAAAAGTTGCTAGTGATTCTCACTAGCTTCCTTGTTTTTTTCACTTTTTCAATTGATTTTTAAATGCTTTAATATATTTTAGTTATCCTAACTATCTAACTACCAAGTGCCAACCCTACTTGAAGTGGAATTGATACAATTCTTTTTTTTTTAGCCCCAAAATTATTTCCAGAAAATTAATTATACCAACCGTATTATAGGTAGTGACTGCGTCATATTTATCTGATCGTTAAAAACATAACAAATAATAAAAGTAGAAGTATAACAAGGCAAAATAAATAATATTTTATTTCATTCTTTTAGAATGAATTTTTACTAAATTTTTATAAAAAGTTATCCATTCCTAAGATTAATATATATAAAAATTACTTAAAAACATAAAAATGCAATAAAATAATCAAAAAATGCAAAATAAAAGTTCTATTTTTCAATTCCTTGATAAATATAATTAACTTTGTGCTGAAAAGCAATGTTTTTGGACATTCAGATAAAAATTTAATATGCTTTCAAATCCATTCTCTAGTAATAACTTAGTTATCAATCACTTTTAAGTTTACATTTGATCGTATTTTTTCTTTGAGATTTTTGGATGGAAAGAAATTTTTTCTCCTAGGATTTTGCAATGTCTAAAAGTCTAAAATTCTTAGTTTTTATTATGGTATATAATGTTTTATCTACAGTACAGATAAAGTTGTTTCATTGTATTACAATAAAATATTGTTTGTTACACAGATTAGTATAGAACACTATAGTATAGATCAGTATAGTGTCAAGTTAAAACTTTCTTCTATAATAATTAGAGTTGCAAACTTATCTATCTAATATAATATACTCTAATAATGTGTGGTTATTTCAGTGTTTCATGTGCCAGACTGAAAACGATTTTAATGCACTGTGTCATGAGCTAAAAATACATTTGGTGCAGTCTGATCAATCACCATCACAACCGCTTATCACTATATGTGATGAACGGCCATCCGATTGGACGTTAGACACTTCTGGAACTCTGTCCACGTCGTCTGAAAATGTTACTGTGTCATTATCGGGTAAGTCACATCCTAAAAAATATGCTTATTCCGCCAAATTAAAAGTTGTAGGTTAAATTGTTTGCATACATATTATGTATTAAAATATTTTTAAATTATGATATGGTGGTGATTTTCTTGATCGCTGAAGGTGATTAATATCGTTGATGCAGTCATCTGCTGTTAAATTGTATATTAAAATACTTAAATTAAAATTTTGTTTTTTTGTAGACTTGGAACTAAGTGACAAAAAATTTCTAACTGATTCAGATGACGATTTTGAACTATTGTGATATACATGAACCAAAAGGATTCTTAATAATTCTCAACATTCGTATTTACATATAGCATACACACATTTATGCATAAAAACAACGAAAAATTATATTATGCTCTTTTGAAGAGATAATGTTTAGTACTATTCCTGGTTGGTGCCACAGTGAATATGTTTTGATTGCCCTTCCAATTAAATGTTTTATTATTATTATTTTATTATAATTATCATAATTATTATTAATTTATTACTAGTTTCAGTTATGTTTTATGTTATAATATATGATTTTTGTTTAAATATTTATGTTGTTGCAACACACGAATTAGAAAATGTAAAATATAATTTACTAATCAATTATCAAACTCGTTGAAACATCGACAATGTGCAAATCTTTATTTTACGATATTTAAATGATCGATCATCATTGATTTTGTTGTTTGATTTTCATATGATTTATGTAGGAAAAGAAACTATTTCAGCTTTAAAGTTCTTAATGTTAAACTAGTCTGTTATGTTTAATTTTTCGTATATATGTATACTTATTACACAAAAGAAAACGAAACAAATTGTTTCCTATACACATTAAGTATGATAACTTATTATTTTGTCCCAAATAACCTAATTTTATTATAATATGTATGTTATATGTTTGATTAGTATACGATCAATCATTGTTTAACTTGGCTGCTGTATAGCAATAAATAATTGCAATAAAATATGTTAATAACAATTGTTGAATTGTGTAATACAAATAAATAATATTTAACTTGTAAAATGTATATGAAAAGAAACCAAATTAAAATAAATATATTTTATTTATTCTTTGTATATATTTTTATTTATCAACACCAGAAGTATAATATTATTATGTATTTTGGAATTAGTTTTTATGTATAAATAATAATAATTTAGGCTCAAAAGTTATATTGGATATACATCAGTGTTTCATATTGGCATTTTTATGAAATATTAAATCAAATAGATACATATTTCTACAACTTGGTATTGATTATTAGGTTATGAAATAGTTTGTGAAGAAACCTGTTATATTATTCTGGTGATGGTAACTATTTATAGCTTTAATAATTATTCAAATTGTTTTTTTTGGTAGGATAGAACTTGATGTATTAGTAATTTTATTGTAGTTTTTGATTAAAGATATGTTTAAGTACAAAACCAGTGGTGACATGATGCAAGTAATGACATGACTTTGTGTGGAGTACATTAAATATTTTAAATTGAATTGTTCCTATGTAACGAAAATAATATAATGGAAATTACTATTGATAGCTAATATCTATAATATGACGTGTTACTATTAACTTGCTTCGAGTATTGCAAATAAAAACAAAAAACAAATAATAATAATGTGACCATGTGGGTAATGAGCTTACAAATAAACATGTATGTTTAATTCACCACAATTTAGTTTTTGATGGTTTAAACCAAATTTCTATTTGTACCGTAAATTACAAAAAAAGTTAATTAAATAAAATATATTTTTAATTAACTCTTCAGAAAATACACGGGACATTTCCTATGAATAAATTGCGTGAACTGGTATTATGTTTTTTCTAAAAAATTTTTTTCAAATTATACCTATACATATATAGTATTTTTACTTGAATTGCTTGTCAAATGACGATTGTTATCACTTATAACCAGGGCTCGGGACTTAAAGCATTTGCTTATTTTTATAGATTGACTTAAAATATAGCAGAGTGCTATAGAAGTGTATGTCATGTTACAACACATTCAATTATGAAATTTGAGAGTGCTTTTTTCAGTGATTTTTCAAAAAAATGCTCATTTCAAGTTTTTCTGATAATTATTGCTTTTTTGACCAGTTTTTATACTTTTTTATGATTTTCTACTGCAAAGTTGTTTTTGATAGAATTAAAATTAAAAATAATTTAAATAAAAAAATTTATTAAAAAATTAATTTTTTTTCAACTATTTGTAAATATTGTTTACATTTTATTTTTCAGAAAATCCATAAAATCCTCAGTCTTGAAAATGAAGTTTAATTTTTTTATAATATAAAGATAAAGTTTTATTTTTTATTTTATTGTTTTTTTTTTTTTAATAAATATTTTTGCTTAAATTTAAGTTTTTTAAATGCTTATTTGAGTGCTTATAATTATGTTTTTAAGTGCTTATTTAAGCGCTTATTTTGATGATTTTAAGTGCTTTAAGTCCGAGCCCTGTATATAACTAATAAGAAATTAGAGAAATACAATATTAATACTGTTTTGTTTTATATATAACGTAAATGTAAAGTTATTTCATTACAACTTTATTTGAGTAACGAGTAAAGTAACTTCATTACTTTTATCTCTAAGTAACAAGTTGGGTAATTTAATTATTTTTTAAATTAACTTACCTTACTTAACACTGCATATAACATATAGTTGATGTTTAAAAATATACATACCTATACAAGAATTACTTAAGAGTATATTGTATGATAAATGCATAGTATATAATTTAATTTGTGATGACTTACTATTATTAATTGTTTATATTATTTTGTGTATAGTATATTAATACAGAACTATCTTCACCAGATAACTTTGAATCTTGAACTTAAATTTAAAATTGTTGGATTTGCAAGAATTTCAGTACCAAATTTAAATACAAATTTATATCTAAAAATTCAAAATCGGGTTGTTCTTCAAAATTATAACAAATATGCAAGTTAAATAAGTTTCTAGCCTGGTATTTATTATTTTTGTTGAATAAGTTATTTTAGTAAAAAAAAATGCTAATAGGTATTTCAAAAATTTGTTAGAGTATTGAAAAATGAGTACTTATAATATGCAAAACATGTAAAATAGTCGAAAAGTTAATTTTTTCATACTGGTTCTTTTATAATGTTATTAAATGGCACTCATTATATTGTATCCCATATTAAATTAATAAAACAGTTGAACATTGCTTTGTATTTCATGAAGTAGTAAGTAAAATAAAGTGAAAATTTGAACTCAATAAGTCTTTTGAACATCCTCAAGGCCTAAAAAAAAATCACAATTATTTGAAATAATATTATGTAGATCAATTGAAGAACAAAACATTATATAGGGATACTTCTTATTACTGGTTGACGTAGTTGATCTGGGCAGCATTGGACACAGAGACGTATCAAGCAATTCAGGGCCCCGGGGAAATCCTCTGCTGTACAGTTGATAGATGGTGTTAAATTTGAATTCAATGATATAATATCATTATCTAAGAAAAACGATTCTGACGGTGAGTCAGCCTATGCTATTACTAAGTATATTTGATGATATTATTGTGAATAAAGTGATTTATGTTTAACCTATTTAAATGGAACTTTATTTTAGATTTTTAATCCTTAGCTATAAAAGTTGAAAATTGTACACACTTTTATTACTAAATAATTTGGAAGCTGTCAGTTTGATAAATTTTGTCAACATATTTTGAACTTTAAATGATTAAAAAAAAAAAACGTGCATACGTATTTTTATTATTTTTCATCTGCTGTTGTAACAATATATCAGGAGCCTTGTATTAATTTTTCTCGTTTTTTGAACCAACAAATAAATAATTTATAGAAAAAAAAAAATTAAACATATACAGCCAAATCCGTATACAGCTCAAAACCTAAAATGCTTAAAACAGTTCCATTGCACTGTCATCGAATCATTGCAGGAACATAGCTAATATACCCAGATAACCCGTTTTAGAAAACAATTGTAAATCACCTTATTAATTGAAACTTAAAACTAACAATAATTAAATTAATGTTCCCACAAATGGCAATATCATTAAAGTTTTACAGCAACTTTTCATTAAACTAAAGGCAACTAACAGAATATTTAAGTTCCCATTAGATATTTTTAAAATTCATCTTATTTAAATAGATATCCAATAGTTGGTAAGTATTTTAAAATAAGAAAAACAATACACAAATTGAACAATAAATATATAAATGGGTTTACCTTCTTTTACACACTCTTCTGTAGTTTTGGTTGCATCTTTTTACTACTCGGAGCCAATATCATTTGTAAGCTAGGTTGCATCTAACATCTTACAAGGAGTAATTGTTTACATTGGTTATCACTTATCGTATTATTTATCATACCTACCTATCATGTCTCAGAATCTTCTGATTCAGCCAACTCTAAAATCTTGAGCCGTTCTAATTCCGCAATGGTTTCTATAGGTAAAATAACATTTTCACCTGATGAACTATTTACTGCCATCACCGATTTACTGGTAAAGCAAAAACCTTGAAACAGTGTAAGGACATTAACACCTCTCTTAGTAAGTAATTTGGTGATGTACAAAATACTCTTGTCTCACTTAACTCCCGGGTCAGTAACCTGAGGACAAAAAATACAAACTTTCGTGCTGAGCTTGCTGCCATCCACGAAAAAGTCCAGGCTCTTGAAAATAATGTCAGCCCTTCTACTTCACCTGTCCCAGTACCTATTTCTGCCTCTGTCATACAGTAATATGGAGATCTGCAGTTATAATGTCAATGCCCATACAATTTCGGAGATCTCCTCTCCTTACATGATCACCAGAATTTCTGATGATTGGACACTTTTGTCGGAAGCACTTCTCCTCTCTCTATATTTTTACCACTACATATCAAGGTGGCTAGACTTAGGACTGCTTAATTTTAAAAATAATCACTGAATGAAGCTAAAGAGAAAGCCAATATTGCCAGGTATAAATCAAATTTCACTGATGGTGATATTTTGATCGAAACAAAAATGTAATGAACTTAATACACTAGGATCTGTTTCATTTATGCCAATATTTTCAAGTAAAGTTTATAGTTTATACTATCTTGTAGATGGGTACAATCATGTCTTATTAAAGTATTGATGTATTCGACTTGTTCTGTTATTAAGCCCTGAAACGGACAAAGGCTTAGAATCTTATTCGTAAAAAAAAATCTAAATATGTTTTAAAAATTAAACATAATAAACTTCAATCTGGCTGGTCTCCATCCCCAAACTAATTTAAATGTAACTTAACTTATAACTAAATACCTATAGCATATGTAACTATAATTGGAAAGTTATAAATTATTATATTCATATATTGCTTGTTTATAGCAATTAAAAACGATTACACCAGTAATTCATTACTGTTGGCAAGTACGTCTAAAGTTCAAAAATGTATGATACAATATGTCTAAAAATATAGTTAATTATTTAATGTATATCTTTTTCTACTAATATGTAATTATTATTTATTACTATAATGTGTTTTAATTTTAGAAAAGAGTCTAACTATTTGACAACTTGCATTTATTAAGCACCATAATAGAACACCTGTCCAAAATCTTAAATTGTATACTACAGTCACACACATTAATGATCATTTACAACCCGCAAATTTACTAGACTGGCATGCAATTTGAAAATTTTCTATTTTTAACTATTTATAAACGATCCATTTCCAATCACCTTTACATTGACCTAAAAATTATACTATATTATATTATGTTATTTTATTCACCTTAAAATAATAATATGTCTTTCCTAGAGTATATTTATACTTATTCATTATATTGTAATATTATAGAATGTACCTATATTTTATTATAAGGAAATTACATTTTTTCGCTTGTTACACAATACTACGACATAATATTATAGAAGCATTGCATACGTTGATGATATCAGAAGGTATATCAAACGTACACGTTAGTATAGTATGTTTTAGGGTGTTCTGGGTCCTCCTCAAATCCGACTAATCCGGCTACCCCGCCCAGCCTATAGTCTATCGCGTACGCGCCCGGCAGTGCCATGCCCCTCCCCCTCTCATCCATGACCATCACGTACACACCTAACCATCTATACATATCACCCCCCCCCCCCCCAAAAAAAATGTCCATGTGTTAGATGGGAGGAGGGGAGATGTAGGATATTTTAGTAGTGGTAACATTTTAAGCTATGGATTGGTAAAATATTATCTACTCATTTACCATGTTAAAAGATTAATGCAGATAATATTTTCAATTATTTTAGGATACATTTAAATTGTTGAAATAATAGCTAAACATTAGATTTTGTATATACTAACTTTCTAAAAGTTAAGTTGATGGTCTTAGGTAAACAGTATATAATTTAATTTATTTATTCAACATATATATTTATTTTTAATTTAATTTATTTAATTTATTATTTATTTATTTTTTATTTATTTTTTTTTTTTGGTGGGGGGGAGTGTGATATGTATAGATGGTTAGGTGTGTACGTGATGGTCATGGATGAGAGGGGGAGGGGCATGGTACTGCCGGGCGCGTACGCGATAGACTATAGGCTGGGCGGGGTAGCCGGATTCGCCGGATTTGCGGGGGACCCAGAACACCCTAAAACATACTAGGTACTCACGTTTAATACATTTTCCACACAGTCAAGTTACCATCACAGTTATTGGTAGGATAATATTCATTAATAGTCTGCTCTACAACTTGTCGGTTGTCGATTTTTTGTCAACGTTGGCCGCCTTTTTTCTCATTAAGTATTTAGGTTCCTCCCGCAAGTCAATGGTTCTATGCATCCTGTTAATGTACGACTTCGGAAGCTGATCATCAATGTACAGCTGGTCACTAAAATATATTCTCCTCAGCCGGCAGTTGGCGTGCACTTTAATGCAGACTGTCTCCACGTAGGTAGTATTAAAACTGGTGATCGTGAACTCGGCCAAGTTCATGTGCAGTTGGTTCCAACCCATGTTCATAGAAACCGGCATCGTGACCATGAACGTGCTCAATTTTTTTTTCATATGGTAACTGCTCATTCGGAAACGCCGGCGAATGTTTTCGCTGTCCAAAATCTGTTTGGGCATACATTTGAGGGCGAGGAAGAAATGTTAGAAGATATAGAGAACTCAGTAAATTTCCGTCAGTAAAAATATTATATTTCCAAGTTGAGTATCACGGAAAAAAAAATTTGGTTTATAGTAAATAGTTGGATAATTTTTAGTTGGCGTAACGTTTTATTTAGTTCTATCAAACAATGTGTTTAGTTGAGAGTACTAAAATGAATTAGTTAAAACATTATAGTTGCACCAACTTATTTAATAGGTAGTAATTTCAACTAGGTATACGAAATAGTAACTCAAATTTAACCATATAAAATAGTTGATGTACAAGTATTGAATAGTTACAGCAACTATAATCAATGTTAAAATAATTTTAACTACCTATATATAGTTATGCCAACCATACAATTTAGTACAAGTATAGTACAACAGCTGACAAGCCAAGGCTGTACTTTGATGACTCCCCCCAACCCCAATATTTTGTTTAGATTACGTACATTTAGAAATTTAACATCAGTTTTAATATTCCATACTATTTTAAATTCCCCCTTCCCCGCAAAAAATTATGTTTTGAATACGCCGTTGTCAATTGTTAAATATGAATAACGATTTAGTTACCTATTTAATGTTCTTAATATTTATTATTTGTAAAAGTCAAAACATTTATAAAAAATTACACTATTGATGAGAGCTTTAAAATTATTTTATACGTGAAAGATAAACTGTCTAAATGTAACGGAAAGGTATGGCAAAACTGGTAAACACTAAAACAGGCTGGTACTAAAGAAAATAAAGAATTCAGAAAACTTTAAAAATTCGTAGTCTTATAAATGGAGAATATGAAATGAAAGAAGAAGAAAATGTTAAAAATAATTTAGCTCTAAGACAAACCTTGTCATCTAAATATGCTCTAACAACATTATGTAATGTGGAAAGAAGTTTTAGTCAATATAAATCCATAATTTGAAATAGCATGTCATTACAGAATGCAATATTCAGTTTAATAATAAGTAATAATTGTGATTTATAATAATTCTATATAAATAATAAATAATTACTAATTAGTAGTTTCTGTTTTAATTAGTTTCTGAAATGTATGTAAAAAATATTTAATTTTATAAAGAAATAAAAAAAAATAGTTGTTCATATTTTTTGCATATTTTGGTAAATTCAAAACATATTTTAAAATATTTTAATACATAGAAATCCTAGTCCTACTAATAAATATTTACGTACTGTGATCTCGAATGTAAAAAATTGACCGAGGTTTTTCACTATTAACGTCACATACGGCAGCCGAATACCCATCGAATCTTTGGGATTCACTGGACAGGTCATACAACAGGCGTTCACGTTTTTTGACTGGATCTGGAGCACGTTGGACTTCATCTGATCGTCTTGAATTTGTTTCATTTCTCCTCCTTTGCACTGATATACCAGAAGCAACGACCAAGGTTATGTATCTTATATGAATTTTACTTTTTACTTTTTACTAGCTTACATCACTATTTTTAAGAAAAATATGGAAACATATTTCGTTGTTTGCCGTTATAAATTAAAAACAATTATTGTACCTATACGTATACGAACGATGTTCATCTGTTAATAAAGTGTACGACTGTACTAGTAGGACAGTACCTAATATGTACCTAAATATTAAATAGGTAAAGCCTGGAAATGGTTATAAATTACAATGCACTAGTTTAATATATTTCGATTGATTTTTGATTTTCCCCAAGTCACCATGATTATAACATAAATGTATTTATTTATTTAACCAAATTTTAGTCCAATTATAAATTGTACCGTTTGGTTGGTTGATAATTTCAAATTTTGCTATATTGGATAGGTGATAAAATGATTTTATTCTGAATACCCTATTTGTTATATAATACACGTGACTCGTAAAAGATGTTTTTTTAAAAAAAATAATAATTTTAGCTATTGTGCTTTACTTAGTGAACGATTGATATATTATAAAATGCTGTGCTGTTTTAAGGGACTGATTGACTGAACACTAACCTGAACGGCCCAATTCTCCAGCGGATGGCTACCGACGCTAAAGAATGCGGTGAATAATTTTCCTTCGAATCTTGACTGAAACATTATTCCAGCACAGGTACAATCACAGATTCTAATGTGAAAATAAAAGATAAAACATCTTGTTATTACGCTCGTCGCTCGTTGCACGGAGACATTTAATAAGTAAACAATAGAAAATATTACCTATACTCAGATTATACTATAATATATTTTGTAAGGGTATTTTTTTTTTGTTAGAAACCAGGTTCGTGTGGGGCCGACAGGTTTTAAAAACTCAATAACCCAACAATTTACTTATAGTGCATTGTGAATTTTTTTTTTGGTACATCACATGAATTGTTGAACCTGAAGTCAGCGATTTTAAATAATATTATATTATAAATACGCATAATTAATAAAAAAAAAAAATAATAATATTTATGTACCTACTATAAATCTCATTCCTCGCTTAAGATCTACGAACTACGTCAGTGCAGGATGTAGGCACCATAGGCGCAATTTCAACTTTTGACTTGGGGGGCTGAATATATTAAATGCAAGCAGACTATTGCAATATAGCATTTTAAAATCGTATGTCCTAGTTTTTTTTTTTGGAGGGGGGGGAGGGCTATGGCTTAGTTTGGGGGGCTTAGCAACCTCAAGCCCCCCTCAATTTGGGCCAATGGTAGGTACACAAATTTAAAAAATAGATAAAACTGAAAAAAGTGGGTCACTATAATGTGTAATGGATTTTGTTTAATTTGAATTCAATAATATAATATAAGAAAAACGATTCTGAGCGAAAACGGTCAGTCAGCCTATGACATTACAAAGTATATTTGATGATATTATTGTGAATAAAGTATTGTATACATATATTTCCCTATTTACGTGGACCCTTGTTTTAAATTTTCAATCCTTAGCTATAAAAGTTGAATATTTTATACATTTTTAACTACAAAATAATTATTAAGTTTTAAATATGATACATTTTATCAAAATTCTAACTTTAAATACTTATAAAAAAAATGTGTGCCTATGTATTTTTAATATTATTCAACTGCTATTGTTACAATTTTCAGGAGCCTTGCATTAAATTTTCACACTTTTTTATCCAACAAATATTTTATATTGATATTTATAGAAAAAAAAACTAAGAAAATTGAAAACTGACAATGTCCGTAAACAACTCAAAAGGAGTCAAAATATTTTCAAATTCTTATGGTGTATAGGAAATGCTAGTATAAACATTCAGTGAAATTTTCATGTATCTATAGTTATTCGTTTATGAATAACAACAAAATAAGGAAATCGCTAAATGAGAAATCGAGTGAACATCCAGTTGTAAAAATTTGAATTTCAATCGCTCATAAAAATTTAATTTGACTGTCCGGTAGAGATTTTTTTATTGATAAAGGCAGACAAACTTATGAGTAATCTGGTATTACATTTTCAAATCTTAGATTTAAATAGAACAATTTTTACGAATTCTTAACTCAAAATAATTTGATAATTTTCGTGATTTTTCCATATTTTGTCAATTTTTGAAATGTAATGCTTATTAAAAAAAACTATGACCACAACGATATTTTTAATATTTTTATCTGCCTTGAAACAATATCTAGGAGCCTTTATTAAATTTTCAAGTTTTTTTAAATAAAAATAAAATTTTATCGATATTTCTAGAAATACTAAAACTGGGTAGTGGTTCGCTCTGCGAAGTAACACACTGAAAATGGTATTAATTGATTCCATGTAAATATCATTTAAGAAAAATTCTGAGCGACATTAGTTAGGTTTAAGACATTATAATCTATGGTATAGAAAAATGCCAATATTCCACCACAAATCCCTAGTCTTATAACGTTTACCTAACAACCCTATCTTGAATTAATATAGTAATATCGTGTACTTAGAAGTTTCACCAACGCATAGTATATACACTCACAACAAAATGACTAAATGGTATGCTGGTTTTTATATGTAATTTCGTCACGGTCATGTTCTGTTTCATAATTTTTTAGATTTTTGGCTACCGTATGAACTATTTATGAGAATCTTTTTTTTAAATTTTCAATCTTTAGCTATAAAAACTGAACATTTTATAATTTATTAATTACGATGGTTGATAATTTTCGAGATTTTGATACATTTTGTCAAAATGCGATCTTTAAATGCTTATAAAAAAAATTGTGCCTATGGTAATTTTTTAAGGTAATTTGTTTTAAAGTTATACCAAAAACCAAATTCAATTTTGTGTAAAAATTCCCGTTTTCCCTTAATTTTTCTTTTGTTTTTCTTGGCGCTTTTTAAAATTACTGGGAAATTTAAATTTTGACCTCCTAAATGCACCAACGATATTCACTTTCCAATCGAACAAGATACTGAAGTTGAAAATCGAAGCATTATTTCGACTACTTATCGTGTACACAGACACAAAAAAAATAAATATAAAAAAAAAAAAAAAAAAAAAAAACACACATCATTGTAAAATCAATACATTCATCGTTTCACTCAGAATCTAAAAATGTTTAAAAAAAAGACACATAATTGTAAAATCAGTACATTCATCGTTCCACTCAGAATCTAAAATTTCCCAGTAGTTTTCAAAAGCGAAGTGAAAACAACATAACAATTAAGGAAAAACGGGAATTTTTACGCAAAATCGGTTTTCCAAAAAATCGATTTTGGTTTTTGGTGTAACTCTAGAACAAATGAACGTATTATATACATGCAATTTTAACTGGTTGTTTATATTTGCATTTTCTACACGTGATCAAATTTTCAAAATATTATGATTTGTTTTGAACTGTTTAGGAACATTTTCAGTTTCCAATTTTATTAATTTTTTCTTCTATGAATGTCAATAAAACTTTATTTGTTGAGTAAAAATCCTTAAAAATTTAATTGAAGGCTCCCAATATATTGTTTCAAAGACAGATGAAAAATATTAAAAATCCATAGTCGCAATTTCTTTTTATAAGCATTTAAAGTTCAAATTTTGACTAAAATTAGCAAATTATGTTGAGTTAGAAATTCATAAAAAATTTTCATTTTAAATCTAAAATTTGAAAATGTAATACAAGATTAATCATACATTTGTTTATCTCTATCAAAAAACTAAATGTCTACAAGAAAGTCAAATTAAATTTTTATGAGCGTTTGAAATTCAAATTTTTACAACATTTGATATTCACTCGACTTCTCATGTAACGATTTTCTTATTTTGTTGTAATTAAAAAACGAATGACTGAAGATACTTGAAAATTTCACTGAATGTTTATATTAGCATTTTCTATACACGATACAATTTTGAAAATAATTTGACTCTTTTTGAGTTGTTTACTTACATTGTCAGTTTTAAAGTTTTTTAGTTTTTTTTTCTATAAATATCAATTTTATTTTATTCATTGGGTAAAAAAGCGTGAACATTTAATGCGAGCCTCCTGATATATTGTTACAATAACAGTTGAAAAATATTAAAAATATATAGGCACAATTTTTTTTATAAGCATTTAAAGTTCGAATTTTGACAAAATTTATCAAATTTAAAATGTAATAATTATTTTGTAGTTAAAAATGTATAAAATGTTCTACTTTTATAGCTAAGCATTGAAAATTTAAAACAAGATTCCAAGTAAATAGGTTATATATAAATTACTTTATTCACAATAATATATAATATCATCAAATATACTTTGTAAGTTTTTGCTCAGAGTCGTTTTTTTTATACAATGATATTATATCATTGAATTCAAATTTATCACCATCCATTACAATGCCCCACTTGTAACCTACTGTACAGCAGAGCGTTTTTTTATGAATAAACTTTTAAATGGTCCAGATTTATTATAATTAATGATCTATAATAACTTACCAGAAGTTTTTGTTATAAGTAATTTTCTTAGTTTCTACAGTCTACACTGAAGTGAACAATTTTGTTCTAAGCAACCCTAGCATTTAAAATTTCTTTAATATTTCGGAAAATTTTTATTATTGACGTAACATTACTTTGTTTGGTTACTGGTAATTTTTAATTTGTATACAAATTGAATGTATCTTTTTTATATGTCTAAACAATTAATATCTAATATAGTGCCAGAACTATGTGAAACTACCTATAAGTCTAGATATTACAATGTCAGAAATTATGATACTTGATAAGTTTCTAACATACCCACCAAAATATTCATTGAATTGAAAAATTGTAAATTAAATATTGTGCTGTGTTCCGAAAACTCAATGAGGGAATTAAATTCTGACAACATTGGATGTATCTATTAAACATTTAAGCTCTCGTCATTTGCTGCAAATTGTGTATGAAAATAGGTGGTTCGTTAATTAATTAATAGGAACCGAACGTTTTCTGCTTAGAATCTTAAATAAATATATATTTGTTTGATTTAGTACTGATTAAGCACATACTTTTGTATTTAAATCAATAGGTAGACGATGCATAGACGCATAGACGTTTTGCTTTGATATTTGGTCTTAATAATTCGATTAAATAAAGAACAAGATCTTTTGTTAGTCGGTAGTTTTTAATAAATAATCGATAGGACAATGTGAATGGATCACTTATAAGTTCTGTTTTCGCATTTGTCTTTCGTAAATTAAATGTTCATGAACATCGTCATTAGCGAACAAAATTGCCATCTCTTCAAGGTTAGCCATAGTAAAATATATATCTTTTAACTATTAAACAAAAATTAAAATAGGGGGACGGAGTGGCCGAGCGGATTAAGGCATCGGTTACGACGCAACACCGGCATCGGTTCGAACCCGGCCATGGGTTGCATCAAATACCGTAAATCAATTACAGTATTTGGTTGCATTTTTCTTCGGGCAAGTCACGGTGTCCGAAGAGAAGTGCGGCCATCCCCCACCCGGGCATAGTAGATACCTACGGGTGCCCACTAAAAAATCTGTCAAACCAAAAAAACACACACACGTGTTTACAAACCTACAATTACTCCCCTACAAACCAAAAACAAACAGCTTAGTTGCCGGATTTCACGATTACCTAATTAAAACAAAAAAAAATTACAATAAAGAGACGAAAACAAAATAAATTATAGGTACGTATTATGCATATTCTATAATAATATATTATATTATATGGTATGGTGATAAATAATAATTTTATTAATTGTAAATTATCCCGTAATATATTATACTAATTTATCGTGCGATAAAGGTTTGTCACAGACATTTACGATTTACCCAATATTTTTCATACGACTAAAGCCATACCTTTTTTCAAGAATACCAAATATTTATTTTCATGCGTAATGCGTATAAGAATATTATTGAATACCTACGACAAAGTTTATCACGATTTCAAGAATTGGACTGCCCGGAACACAGACTTCTATACGACTATACTACACTAGATAAGGAACTCCTATACAAATATACAATTATATTGTTACAAGTGAAGCTCAGCTTTGAACGGCCGCCATTTTTCCGGTTGGCAAAACATTTCATTTATTGTACAAAACGTATTAGGAATAATTTTAATGGTCAAATAAAACAGTAATTAATGTAAAATGACTTATAAAAAATTTTTTTTTTTTTTAAAATTACATGTTTAGAAATAATAAAATACGATACAAAATAAATCATAATAATATCATCTTATTTGTCATAATATGAAATTCCATACAATTGCCAACCGACTTTGAAGCTTCAATTCACGACCGGAGTTCGCTATCTAGTAATATATAGAAATCTGTGCCCCGGAATATTAATATGTCTACCGCTGTGTGATAAGAGTACTACAAACAAACGTTATCAGATTGCGTCAATTACCGGTAACGCGGTAATGCCGTACGACGCAGCTAACTCCGTGGGGCGTCCGAGTCAAGCGCAAACGCTCTACCGAGTTTAGCAAAGGTAAATCAAACAAATCTAACCTTATACCATCCGCGTGCTCCAAATGGCGACTGCCCGGATTATCGATTAAACCTGGTGAGTACACCGGGAACCGACGGACGGCCTCATCTCCATTGTCCGTATCGACCGCTGACGCCAAGACCATCATTGTTTCATCTTCTTCGTCACCATTCGTCAAAAGGATATCCGTCAATCCGTCACATCGAATCAACCACTGAACCGCGGCTTGCAGTATTCACAAAGCCCGTATGGACGTCTCCAATAACGTTATTTACATTGTGTAAGTATAAGAACCGCCTGTGTGTATCTCTGTTTGATTGTCAACTAGTAGGCCAAGTCCTTGTGTTGCACTTTACTTCGCGGTTGGTGTAACGATTGTCGTCATCGTAATCGTACATTACTCCCTACGTTGAGCACGGCTAATATTACGCTGAGTGTTAGTAATGGCAAATGTGGTCGGGCAATATAATAATATATATATATATATATGTCTATTATATATTAAAGCTTTAAAAACTTCTGGTTATGCTTGCGAGACTGCAGTCGCTCAAGGCAGTTTATCTGGCCTTCATGGAATTGTTCAGTTATCATAATTTTAAATATAAATTCATGACGCCGTGTCCTACGTAAATCCGGCGAGTCCGACAATTTCTATCTGACCTAGCTGTCCCGTCGCAATACGATGCGACGAAATACAAACTGTTTTGTTTTTAGTCACATTGTTCGGATTCACGTAGTACACGGCGTTAAATAGATAGTTCATATAAATTAAATAATTACAATTTGCAATACACATTTCTCACTTAACTAGACTATCAATATATGTAAAAAAATACATATTTTCTTTTCTTTATTTATATAATAATATCATATTAAAGTGGAGTTAGTATTATGTAATTAATTACTAGGCTGGGCAAGTTAATGATTTTTTAAACTCAATTGAGTTAAGTTAATGTTGAGGTTAATATGCACCAATAACAAAAAGTTAATTTATTTATAGATTAACTCGGTTAAATTAAAAATTAATTCACATTTTTTATTATCTTTTTATTAAGTTAAATTTGTTAATTCTTAGATCAATTTATGAATAATAATTTTAAAGTACAGTTGAAAAGTAATTTTTTTTCCCTGGCTCACAACCGATAAGGAGGACCTTGGCCATGAATATATATTAATTTAATTAAATGGTAAAACGTTTATTAAAAATAAGAATGCACCATTACCAGAAAAAATACAATTTTGAATTTGCAAGAGGTATTAAACAATAAATCTACTTTCTTTGAAAAATAAAATTTTTACTTAGCATTTTTTTAAAACTTAATTGATTTTTATAAAATTTTTTTGTCATAAATATAATATCATACATAGAGAAAACGCTTTCACCTAAAATGGGTTTTTTTTGATGATTTCTGAGTAATTTTAGAGTTAATTTTTTTCATACTTTTTATCATTTTTTTAAAATGCTATCTATTGTTATAGATACATTTAATTATACATTTCATACCCTGTATTATATATAACTCAATAAGAACTAAATTAATTTTTTCTAGTTTTTCTAATTTTTATTTTGCTTAGGTATTGTAAATTAATAATTTTTTTTTATTTTTTAAGAAAAATTAAAAATAGTTTGTTTTATTCTTTTGGCAATCATAAAATTGTTAGGATTTTCACCAAGTAGAAAGGTACTTTGGAATGTTTTCAAAAAACTAAACAAAAGTATACTGAATACCTAGTTCAGGGCTTGAAATCAAAATGAAAAATTTTCATTTTATTTCTCCATATCAATATTTGTTTTTTCTTATTTAAATTAAAAATAATATATTGATATTAAAATTTTATGATTTTTGCTATGTTGCACATGATTTAGATGTATTATGGCTTTTGATTAGATTAAAACAAAATTTTTCTATTTTTTTTTTATTTAAAATAATATATATTTTACATTTTTCCAATTTTAATTTTGTTTTCTAACTACAAGTAACTGAATTGTAAATGTCAATTCAAAAAATTTAATTGTAAAATAACATTTTTTTATTCATTATTAAGGCTTGGATGTTTTTTTCTATTTGTCCAATATAATACTAACTTGGATACAAATTTTTTTGTATGGCTCATTTCAGTAGGTACATTTTTTTAAAAAACAATTTAAATTAACATACTACGCAATAATAATACAAGAGAAACTCTCAAAATGGCCAATGGAAAAGTAGGAAAATAGATTTACGACAAATTGAAAATTGAAAAAAAATGAATGGATTTACAACTGGTACAAATTTCGTAAATACATTCCGGTGAATTTGATACTATTTTAGGAATAGAAGAAGATTTGAAGGTTGAGGATCTTGTATTCTTCAAATATGCTCTAATAACATCAGTTGATGTAGAACGAAGTTTTTCACTCTACAAAAATTTACTTACCAATAACAGACGCAGTTAAAAATTAAAAAAACCATAGTAGCACAGTGTAATGCTAATAATGTAATAAATAATAAATAATAATGTAAAATAAAGTAAATGAAATGCTATGTAAATTTAAAAAAATGTATTTTAAATTTTAGTAAAAAAAATTACTTGTAAGTATAGGTAATAAAAATATAATATTTTTGTTTTATGAATTAAAATAATTTTTTAGTGCATAAATGCATGCATTTTACTGTTTTAAAGTTTTAAGTTCATTTAAGACATCCGAGCCCTATTCATTATACTCTTTATCATAGGTGGTACCTATGATAAAAGTAGTTCATTAACTAAAACAATTTTTATTTTAAAGCAAAAGATACATAAAAATGAATTACAATTTTATATAATAGCTTCATAATAATAATTTTAAAAAAAACATTAAGATGTATGAAAAAAATAGTGACATATTTTAATATATATCATATTGCAGTATATATTTTTTACCCCCAATTCTGCATAGCTGATAAGCAAATACATTTTTCATATTATACCACTTGAGTGAAGAATAAAACGTCTTAGGACTTGGAACTAATAACTTATGATATTTGTTGTTGTTAAAATTGATATATTTCTGTATGCCTAATAGATAATTATGAATTAAGACACATACAATTATAAATAAAATTAACATATATATATAATCGAATATGGCGTACTGATTAGTATATCAACTTAGTCTAAACTGTGATAGCTAGTAACTTGAAATTTTCATGGTTCCTTTGTACCATCATGTTGGAGTGCATTAAGGGTTTTCAGAAATTCGCATTTTAAAGAGGTGAACAGTGTACACATAAGGATTTTGGGATTTATATGGAATTTGAAATTGTTTTGTTTCTAAATGGTTGTCATTGGTTGCTTAGGCAGATTTAATAAAAATCATGCATCAAATCAACACGTTTATAGCCACAAAAAAAGAAATAATATCCTAAAACAAGTATGAGAGTTGAACTATGTAACTTCTTTACTCAAAAGCTACTCGGCCGTTATTGATGAAAATTTCAAATTTTCTTATAAATATCAGAATAGTTTGATAGTAGTTCGAACCACATTTGAAAATATATCAAGTGCCAATCCACCAAAGTAAAATTTTGCATTTTGGTCAAATTAGTTGATAAAGTGAGATAACCAATACCAATTTCCCCGTGAACTGAGATACACCTATATAGCGCTATATTTTAAATTTTTTCACGGGCAAAGTTGAATTATGCAGCTAGTATAAATAGATTTATATATGTAATCCACAGATGTATAAGAATACTTTAAAAAAAAAAAAAAACAGTTTTTAACAGTGTAGAAACCATTCTCCTTAAATTATTGCAAATCTAACCCAACTTGTTTATATTTTGTATTTGTTTATAGAATATACAATTTACGGAAGAAATCAATTTTTCTCAACCTCACTAATAAATTACAATAATTCACAAGTAAGTATTCTTATTACAAGTAATTTAAATACAAATTTGAATCTATCATACCTAAAATAATCTGTACATATGTATAATCAATGATGATTTTAATGTTGTAGGTGGATTACAAATATTTTAAATTGAATCAAAACCTTTGAAAACCAAGATTTGACAATGTTCAGCTTAGCAAAACTATCATATATTCAATGTGACGAATTTCAAAAGTTTTGGTACAATACCACACCAAATAATGTAATTAAATTTAATATCCTACAGTGTTGTGAAACCTTGATGGCCTACTCAAAAGGCAATAAAAAAATTGACTGTCGGTTGGATACCAAGATATGCTCCATTGCTGCAGACTCTGCTCACCTTGATTGTTTACAGATAGCTCACCAATTCGGTTTTGCATGGAACAAAGATATATGTATGGCTGCTGCAAAAAATGGGGATTTAGCTTCTCTAAAATTTGCCCATGAAAATGGATGTTCATGGGATAGAAGTATATGTTACACTGCAGCAAAACATGGTAATTTGGAATGTTTAAAATATGCTCATGAGAACAAGTGCCCTTGGGACAAATATACATCTAACTGGGCAGCAAATTGTGGCAATTTTGATTGTTTGGTATATGCATTCAAAAATGGTTGCCCCTGGGATGAAAGAACATGCATGTTGGCTGCGCATAATGGATATATTGATTGCCTAAAATTTGCTCATGAAAATGGTTGTCCATGGGGTGAAGATACATGCAAATGGGCTGCAAGTAGTGGAGAACTAGAATGTTTAATGTACGCTCATAGTAATGGTTGTCCCTGGACTGCAGATACATGTATCAAGGCTGCAACAAAGGGCAGACTTGAATGCTTAAAGTATGCGCACATCAATGGGTGTGAATGGGATAAAAAAACATGCTCTATGGCTGCCGCAAATGGAAATTTAGATTGTTTAATGTATGCCCATGAAAATGGGTGCCCGTGGGATGAATCTACAACATTCAATGCAGCCGAAAATGGACATTTAGATTGCTTAATTTATGCTGTTACTAATGGATGTTTTTGCGATGATAGAACTACTAGTTCTGCCGGTAGAAATGGGCATTTGGATTGTCTAAAGTTTCTGCATGAAAATAAATGTATTTGGGATTCATTTTTGATGTTTGGATGTGCAAAATATGGGCATATTGATTGTCTCCAATATGCACATGAGAATGGATGTCCATGGCATTTCGATACATGTTACCAGGCTGCATTGAATGGCCACTATGAATGCTTAAGATATGCTCGAAAAAATGGGTGTCCTTGGGACGAAAAAACACGCGAATGGGCTGCCAGTAATGGACAATTTGAGGACTGTTTTTAATCCATTCATGAAAACCAGATGTAAGATTTTTATTTTGTTCAATAACTATATATTATGTAAACATCATAATGTTTTACATCATTATAAACATTATTTTGAAGTTTTTGTACCATTTAATATTCTTTAAAGTTTAAATCAACATAATAATATTGTATTATTAAGTTTCAATTGCTTTTTTTATATACATTTATGTATCTATCTAAATATATTAAAATTTATAAAAATGTATTTTATGTTATCTTGTCAATAAGCTAATATGTGCTTTAAAGTATATTTGGTATTTATTTTAAAATATATTAAGTATTATTATAATAGAAAATATATTTTTATTAAAATTTGACATTCAAATTATGTACTTTTACTCTTAAGAAAATTAAGTTTGTACAATGTAATAACACATTTGCTGTGTATCATATTTGATATATTTGTTGTGATGCTGAAAAATTGGGTTTAAAAAAAGAATGCGTAAAATATCATTGTACGACTTGCATGTACCTAAGCAAATAGTAGTTATAGAAGACGTTAAGACACAACAAATAGTTAATTTCTAATACTGATCAAATGGCAAGGCAGGGCATTAACGAGTTAAAAAGTTAATTTAATTTAAACTTTTTAACTTAACTAATTACTTTTGGATTTTTATTAAATTAACTATTAACTTACTAAATTTATTTTTTAATTAAGGTAAAATGAACGAATTAATTTTTGCATTTTATGAAGTGATTTAAGTTGTCTCATATTGTTTTTAATTTTATTATATTTCCCTATTGCAGTCTATTTGGTTTTCATGTCGAAAATATTTACCGTGAATTGTTAAAAGTTAAAATTTAATATTTTTCCAATCTAACAAATATGGAAATATTGTAAAAAGTATGAACACTAGTCTATAATATTGTATTAGCTGGAAAAAAATTTTGCACTCTAGCATTCCATAGAAAATTAACTTTTTTTTGAACTTTAAGTTTAAAAAAAGTGTGTATTAACTATTAACTTAACTGAGTTAACATATAATCAAACTAACTTTTAACTTTTAACTGATTGTTATTGGTGCATATTAACTTTACTTAACCGAGTTAAAAAAAAATATTTAACTTGTCCAGCCTTGTTAAATTGTAGTGCAATTCAATTTAATACAAGGCGCATAACACCAATTGGCGTCAGTCGGTATATTATTATGCAAATAATGTTAAACAAATAATGCCATTTGGCATCATCTGCAATGAAAGTGTTAACCCATTTTCTTAATCTTTTATTTTAAAGATGTGGAACCTTTAAAATCATTAGGTAATCTAATTCATGCATTTTATACCAAGTAAATTATAATAACTACTTAATTTCAGTCTTTTAAATTAGGTATTCTCACCAACGTCGATTATCAATTTCATCTATTATAACGATGGCTAAGAGGCCAAAAGTTGTATGTCACAAACTAATTTTACAGTAGTGCAGTTTTTAAATTATTCTATACCAAATAATTTGTGTTGTAGAATTTTGTTTTTCCGGTGTTGCAACTTATTTATTTGTAAAGTATTCTATAGAGTAAACCATGCATTTCAAATCTCATTGAACCGTTAAATTAATACATTTTTCAAGCAACCCGGTATTCGTGTTCAATATTTATAATTTATATGTTTTTATTTTTATATATTTCATATTAAATTAACTCTTACTTTTTAACTACAGCAAGCTTACCTAACCAATTTCTGTATAATAAATAAATGGGCACCTGTAGTATTTTATTATTTATTTACAATAACATTTAAACTTTTTATTATATAATTGAAGCTGTAGGTGCAATCCTTATTTTGAGTTTTGGGTACTAAAGGGTAAAGGGAATAAATAAAATATTCTTCAATATGGTGTCTCCATAAAATGGAGTAAATCAGGTAAATATTAATTTATTAATAATAATAATATCTATAAAATCAAATATTTGAAAATAATTGGTATTAAATACGTCTTTAAATCATAAAAAAAAAAAATCATTACTTAATTGTAATACATTATAATATATGTACACAGTTATAACTTATAAATGATAATTATCATAGTAAATCAAGGTTACTATATCCTGTATCGCCTGAATCAATTTATATCATACAAGACGTTTTTGCTGTTGCACATTTCAAATGTGTTATTCATTTAAAGTTGAAAGACTGTATCATGAAAAAACACTTACGTATTTAAAATTTGTAATGCTAGTTATCACAAAATTTTCTAGAATTTGTTTGGATGCAAATGGGTAAACAATATTTTACACATAACCCGAGCCTTATTGCTACTTTTTGAGTCTATATTAAAAGTTTTTGTTACCGTACTTACCCATGCCTACTACTTGAACGTAGTACCATACTTGAAGTTTTCACAAAATGTTTATATTATCATTTTCTAAACATTGTACGTTTTCAAAATATTCTGATTCTATTTGAGCTCTTTTTTATGCTTTCAATGTTTTTAATTTTTTTTCCAATAAAAACATTTTTTTTTAGTAAAAAATGATATAAATATATTATAGGTTCGCTATTATAATAACTAAATTTTAATAATATAATACATACTAAGTACAATGTTTTCGCCAATCGGCAAAAATTAAATCAACATTTAGGTACCTAATACTAATATTAAAATAAATTACTTTAAAAACGATATAAAAAAACTAAATTTAAAAATATCATGAAATAACGTTATATTTATTTGATATTATTTTGTTGTCAGACCGTCTTCGCTTAGAATCGTTTTTCGTATACAATGATAATATATCAATGAATTAAACACATACTGTACAGCAGAGTGCCAGACTGGCTACCCACTTGCCCATCATTTTTACTAAAGCACAATACCTACCTACTTAGTAATATATTAGTTATTATATTACCCAAAACTATTTCCATTGACTTAATAATATTATGGTAGGCATATAAAATTCAGTAGGTGATAGGTACCCTACTGAAGTACTGAATTTTATGAACTTTGCATCTGCAGCTCAATAAAAATAAGTAGGTAGGTATTCACAATTATCACTGAATTTATGATCTATCATTTTAATTTGAACTATGTATTTAGAATTTATCAAGTGCTAATGTAGGTACTTACCTACTAATGTTATGTAGTTTTGTGTGACCCGAGAAATAATTTGAAAAAACCGTATTAGGTACTTGGTTTTTAACTGAATCAAAACAATATTTCCTTCAATATTTAGGTAGGTAGGTAGGTACCTACTTTAAACTTTTTAAGTCAAATACATTTTGAAGTTATAACTTTAAGTAGTTATGACTTTATGGATGTTGATTTAACTATTGATTTTATAATATAGATAGAATTAGGTTAAGTGTTAACCCAGTCTGTACTATAAATGTATAAAACCAACAATTTAACTAAGCTGGGTAGGTAGGTAACTCAAGTTAATTGCCTACCATTAATAAATATTAAAAACTATTAACTAAATAAAACGCACACAAAAAAATGATATTCAAGCATATAATTCTTAAAAATACTTACAATTAAAAGAGATTTGTTGCACATGAATGTATTATGTATATGTGTATTTAAGTTATTGGCTAAAGAAAGATCATACTTGGTCGCAAATCACATGTAGGCCTCACTTCTTTAATAGGCAGATTTTTTTGGTATGGGACTTGGGCCTTTTTTTCTCGGTTTGGTTTTTGTTGGATGTGGTTTTTTCGGTTAGCATGGATATTTTTAAGTTGAAACTTAGGATTACAATTACATAACAAGTATTCTAGTATGTAGGAAAAATCCGCACGATGGAAAAGTTATGTTATTACTTATTAAAGTAAGTTGTACACTTGTATTATAGTTATATTTATGTTAAATAGGTACTAAAAATTAAGATGATATTATTATCCAGGAAAGTGGACAATTATTTTATATTAATTCTTCCTTGTATTAATGACGTGAAAAATTGCAAAAAAATACGATACACTGCTATTTCTTGATTTTTTTTTATTAGAGAAGAAAATAGGAATTTAAATAAATAATAACTTTTAAAGCATTACATAATATACGATTTAATGTTACGGTAATGTTACGGACTTACGGTATTGAATAACGATAATTTCCCACCAATATAGGTATTTTTTTTTTGCAGTGGGGGGGCTGCCACCGCAGATATTTAACTGAGTGGAAAATAGTGTAATTTTACCTTATAGATTTTTAGTTTTACCACTCCCCTCCCTCCCACACAAAGCATTTACCACAGATTACGCCTATGAGGTGCCTATTCAATAAGTTGATAACCGGTAAATAACGTTATTTCCCGTTTAACGTAATTTACCGTAACATGTACATTTTACTGTAAGCTCACGATTTGTAAGGTATAAAAGTATAAAACTTATAACTAAAACAAAACCTATATAATTTGGGTATTTTAATAATATTAGTTATTACAGTACTTATATTATATATATATACAATATACATTATACAATACGGACAAGGCACGCTCTCGACGATCGCGACCAGAAACCGAAAACAGAAAATGAAAAAAAAATCATCGTCACACCGACGTGATTACGTACTGTTCGGGTAGGTAAAAGTGCATGTGCTGTTGGTCGGTGGACCGTATGATCTCCACCGATGAGTCTCCGCCACCGCCGAGCCGGCCAAATGCCAAGTCGGACGACGGTCGGCCATCGGACGAGTCGGCCGACGCGGTCGCGTACCTGTGCTGAGGTCCGATCCTCTTCACTTCGGCGTTGAACCCGTGCTCGTCGTCGGCCGTGTACTCGACCACCCGAGTGGAACCGTCCGCTTCGACCATGCTGTACGATCCTTTGACCGTGCCTCGGCCGTCGCTCACCTCGTTCTGGCTCTTCACGTCACCGGTCAGCGGGTCTTCCACCGAGTACGCGAAGTGATACGACGAGTCGGCTGCCGGAGCTCCTGTGGACGGCTGCAGCCGATCGTCGGCGTTATGCCCCAAGTCGTCGTGTTCGGACGCCTGTTGAGCAGCCTGCGCCTGCTGTTGATTCTCGTGATGACGGCCGAAGTCTTCGTGTTCGGACAGCTGGTGCAGTTGATTGACCAGATGGCCCAAGTCGTCGAGTTCGGACGGCTGCTGATGGCCAGGGTCGACTACCTGGGGATGGCCAAAGTCGTATCCGGGCGGCGCTACCGATGCGGTCGACGGTGGAGCAAAAGGAAACGGCGCTGCTGACGGCCTGCCCGAAGTCATCGCACAGCAAACGGCCGCCATCGCTACGTAGAACAGCTGAAGAGATCAGACAATCACAATATTATTATTTATCTTCGTTTTAGTTGAGTAGCATAGATTAAAAAGTGAAAAGCGTATGCAGTGATCCCATTAAGGATGTCAAATAAATTCGTCCGAGTCTTACAACAGTATATAGGCATAGGTAACCTATGAAATTGATCATTATTTACGTATCTTAAATCTACGTTGGTAGTTCTACTGTAATTTAAAAATCGTATGGTAGGAACCAAGAACGGTTTTCTTGGTAAGTTTCAGTGGCGGCTGGTGGGTAAAATATTTGGTGGTGTACATCATAGCGGTGACCCTTGATGTTTAAAGTAAATGGTATGCAATTATTTCAAAAGTTCTTTAAAAAAAGATATTAGTAAACTTCAAATTCAAAATTGACTTTATATTGTTGAATGAAAAAAAATAAAAATAGAAAATACGAGGAGAGTTAAGAAAATAATGCCAATACATCGCTACACCTCGGTTGCTTTTATTTGTTAACCAACATCATTCAACGGTCGAATGCGTATCTACACATTATACAGACCGACGGTGTTCTGACAGACCTGCACACTAGTTGATGTGTATTTTTTGCATATCTCGACTACATTTTAGGAGTATAATAACATTAATAACTATTGTCATGTTTAAGGGGCCTCGCTACTGACGTAAATTTTAACTGAAAAGCCCTAAAGTATTGACAAAATTAAAGTTAATTAACGTTGTCCGATTTCAATTCTGAAAAAAAAATTGAACTCAGCAGTAAATTGTCTATAGATCCAACAAAGCACTTTGTAAAAAACGGAAAATGTTTCGTACGATCTTCAGACATTTTTCTGCTGAATTCAAATATTCTTTCAGAATCAAAATCAGACAACGTTAACCAACTTTAATTTGATCAAAACAAATGTATGTTTTTGTTTAATTCGTATAGTGAAACACTGAAATTTATATGGTTATCGACGTATTGACATGTGCATTCGCGTACGAGAGAGGATACCTGCATTTAATTTCAATCACACTAATTATCTTTTACAACTAACACATAGATCCCGGTGGCAATGACAAGATTGGAAATTGCCTAAATGTTGCCCCATAAATAATGACAGTAGCGAGGCCCCTTAAGCGAATTTCAAATGTTTTTAAAATTCAATTTTATATTATAGAATAAATACAGTATAATAGATATTGAATTAAAATTAAAATACACTTTTACTATTATATCAATATATTAATGTATACGTGGTGTTCGCGCAAATGCATACATAGGCACGAGCCGCCACTAGTAAGTTTTATACAATCATCAGATAATAATAATAATATACAGAAATGGATATGTTTCATTTTACAGTCCTTAACAAAATACCTACCAATTATTCATTGAATCCAAAAATCACAAACTTTAGATAAAATACAAGACAAACCCGCACACTTTTTTGAGATTGTCGTATCCATGAAGAAACAGATGCAGAATGTATACATTTTTTAAATATAAAATACATTATTTATTATTTATAAATTTATTTAAATAAAAAATATAAAAGAAATTACCGCGTCGGCTTATTACTCATCAGTCATCACTACAATTGGACGGACGTTGTGAGAAACGTGTCAAGTCACTTTTTGGTAATTTTGATATTATACATCAAAATTGTAAGAAATTTTACGCTGCGTCGATTGGTAACACTGTTATTAACATACGGTTGCTTGTTGTTGTGTTATATTGATGTGCGAAAAGAGTCAACTCAATAACTGTTGAATGATTTTGTGAGAAAAGTGTCAAGTCAAAAATAATTAAACAATTTCGTGAGAAACATGTCAAGTCACTCAATATTTTATTATTTATTTGTTTATTATTTCCTGTTGCCTTGTACTATTTCAAGTACCTACCTAATACGATTTTTAATATTTTATCATGTTATTGCAATGTCAAATACTCAAATGTATGCGGTGTTTTAAGATATTAAGTTTTATTATTTTCTATAAGTATAGTACCTACATTATAATTTATAATATACCGTATAGGTACCTATCTACTACCTACTGCAGTATATTAATATACTGTGTAGGTACTAGTACACATACACTTACAGATTTTTTTCATTGATTTTCTTATATAGGTAATATTCTTTAACACTGTTCTTTTCAAAGTTGTTAATAAACTAAGTAGGTACCTAGCTTCAAAAAAATGTATGTATTGATCAGTCAATCATAGATTGTATGGAGCTTGTTTACACCAAATTGAGTATAATACAAGAAAAGCTTCTCTGTAAAAGGTTAGTACCTACTAACTTAAAACTTAACATAGTATAATAGCACAAACTTCTATAAAACCAAATGAGAGGTGTTATTAATGTCAAGTCATATGTGCAAAAGGTATCAAGTCAGATATTGTATGTGTCATTTATGTCAAGTCATGTGCAAAAGATGCCAAGTCAGATATTTTTTGTGTCATTTATGTCAAGTCACTTACAAAAGGCTTAAAATAATTTAAGACTTCAAGATGAATGGAAATCTAAAAATAAATATGTCTATGAGACATAAATAACTATTCTAACAAATTAAAAACAAAAATTGGAGAATATAAACGTTTTTTTCTTCTCCTGAAAAATCAGCATTTTTGACTTGACACGTTTCTCACAACGTCCGTCCAATTGAATACGAATTCAATATATTTTTCACATGTTAAAATAACAATTTCATCTTCTTTGTAAACATAAGTCAAACATTAATTTTTTGTGGTATAAAATATAATAATCGTCAATTATTTAAAACAAAATTTAGTGCTTCTAGGTACCAACGTTTTTTTTATGTAATTTAATTGCAATTTTTTTTTAACATTCAAATTAATGGAGTTAAAAAAACTAATTAACTAGGTTTTGACTTTGAACACCTTAAAATGTTTTCCATCCATATAACTCGGTTAAAAAATAATATCATCAACTTGCCCAGCCTTGTCAAATTTTCAGCTCTGTTAAAATGTAGGTGCCTACCTATACCATTATACCAATATAATATTATATATTATTATTGTATGTTTATAATTAGTATACAGTGGATAGGACGGTATCTACTCACCTTAGCAGCCATGACGATGTCGTAAAAGCAGTAGTTTTTCTTCCCAAATATTATTATTATTGTGACTTCGCACTACAACAAAAATTAATACTACTACAGCACCTACTTTCAGGTATTATTATTATGGTATTATTATAGCGGTGTCTATAATGTAAGCTGTGGCCCGGTCGACTTCGACTTCAGTTGCAACAGGTTAGTCTGATGGTTGTTGCCAGCTCGGTGAGGCTTTTATAAGGCCTCTAATCCCCATCCACAGACACTGATTACTGATAATCAGCGTAATCGGACCGAAGAAGATTTTGTTTTCCGCAGACGAGATGATGGCGGGCACACGCCGTGGCGGCGAACGCACACCACGTCGACGGCTATGTAATATTATGTTATTATAGTATCGTTAGTCAGTTAAGTATCTATAACTATAACGGCGTAACAACAGCTACATATTATAATATTTTAGAGTACCTACATATATAATAATATAACCGTCAGGTACGTGGCTATTATATTACGCATTTACGCTGCGTGTGCGGAAAAAAATAATTAATTACATCCGCCTCGCCGCCGCCGTGGATATGTGATATTACTGATATTATAATAAGTACAGCATGCCCCTCTTGGCTCTTCACGATAGCTTCAATGCTTCATAGGTCGGTCGAATTAATAACGAATCATATGCAGTGCCACATTTCACAGGGAGCAATATTTAAGAAGGGAGGGGGGCAATTGCGTCTGGGCGGAAATTTTTTAAGTGATTTAAGAGGCGGCAGATTTAAAAATAATATATCATTCTTCGTGACGAACTTCGTATTAAATTTTTAAAATAACACAATATTATCATTATTATATTAAGAATATTAATAACAATAACATAATCTACCAACAGTCAACATGGTCTCGGCGTAATTTCAACAGACTACAGTGTTGTGACATTTGTTTTTAAGGTTTACCATATTTTAATAAAATTATTAGTAAATATAAATATTTAATAATATGTCAGGTAACCAAACTTTAAAAATGCAAAACAATCAATGTCGTCACGTGTCAGATTTTTGTTGATAATAATTAAATTATTTTATTTATAATATATTTTGTTCAATGTTCATTGTTCACTCATAAATGTGGAGCCCCTATTGCCAAACTCTCATTTATGATTATTTAATTATTTATAAATTATCGTAACCTGGATTTTATTAAAAGTAATTCGTTATTTATTAAGTTTATATTTATTATATTAATAAAAATCAGTTAAGTTAAAAATTAAGTTAATGAAAATTAAATTTTTAAAAGTCGAGTTAAAAAATTAGAATTAATTTTTAACTTAACTTTAAATTTTAACCTCGCTTATGCCCAGGCCTGCATATTATTATGTTTTTACATACCTACGTAGACCAGAAAAAATCAGTGTCGGCTTCATAAGGGTCTGAGTCCAGTGCCGCTCTAACCACCAATAACGCCCTAGGGCAACAATATTTGACGCCCCTCTCGGCCTCTCCCTCCCACAAAAAAATCTAGACTTCACATTTTTAGCTTATAATTAACCACATCCCTTAAATATGTTTAATACTTATTAATTAAAGGTTCCTACTTATTTTTTTATTATTATTATTGGAATCATATTTATTTTGTTTCAATGATTTTTTTGAGTTGACACCGATTTCATTATTCCGGGTACATTACAGAAAGAAAATATATATAACTATTTTCACAAATTAGTGGATTTTATTATAAATCATACGTTCTGCGTTTCTGCGTGTGGAGTGTATAACAGTCAACATTGTAAATTGTACAAGTGAATATGAGTGAATATAATATACGGAATTTAGTCAAAATACACTAACTCGATTTATTTTAAGAAGTGGGTGAAATTGATAATGAGTTGGTTATAAGTTATAACATAATATACATCTTTGCCTTTGCATATAATATTTATAGTAGCACAACTCCCCGAAGATGGGGGTTGTTGATCACTGAGACCCATAGACTGCAGGGACCCCCCAGGCCCCAACCCAACTAATAATTTACTATTTTTATATTTGATAACAAATATCAAAATCACATTATTTTAATGTATTTATGTATGTATTAAATTTCACTGTCAGTATAGATATCTGATGTATTATTGAAATATTATTCTATAAATATAAAATAATGATGACATTTCTCCATATTTTACATGGAAAATTAAAGGAGGATTATTAAACACAACAATTAAAGACCTCGCTTTGTTTATAATTATTAAAAATGGTTTCTGTAATCCATACTGCGATGTTCTTAAATTTGTCGATCAAAAAACCAGAAAAAAAATATTTTTCAAGTGAAAAAAATATTTAATAGGTACTACCAAAGATATGAATTAGTTTAGTTTATAATTATATTACTTAATTATTTTAATGATGTATATACATATTTAAAATATATTTCATGTAAATAAATATTACTATTGTAGTCTTATAACTTATAAGTATTAATATTTTTATTTGTTTTTATGAATATTGAATATATTATTGAAGGTATGTCGCATTAAGATTTAACACATTATTTACATAATTTTATATTTAATAGTATATAATTTGATAGGTACTCATCTTTGATATTACAGTATAAAAAGAAAAATAATACCTAAAATAAAATCACCAAATTTTTCTTTTATCATTCATTTTTAGTACGCCCCCTAAATTCATAATACTTTAGACGCCCTATGGCACTTGCCCCATTTCCCCCCCCCCCCTTGGGACGGCTATGGGTCTGACAAACGATATATTGTGTTCATCACATGCAGGCGGATAGCAGCCAGCTGGTATAAGTACCTATTTAGATATTATATATCGTTTATTTTATTGAATCAAAACCAAAACATGCATGCTTAGTTTTAGTGTATATTATTACCTATATTGTATTGACTGCTTTTGCAGGCATGCTGTTTAGGTATATAATATAAATAATACAAATAGATTTTTATTAAATACTGCGAAAATGTTTAATAGGATATTTTTAAAATGTACAAATGGATCAAATTTAATTTTTTAATTTTTGTGTCAGTGTACACGACAATTAGTCGATATAATGCTTCGATTTACAACTTCAGTATCTTGTTCAATTGGAAAGTGAATATCGTTGGTACATTGGGGAGGTCAAAATTTAAAATTCCCAGTAATTTTAAAAAGCGCCAAGAAAAACAAAAGAAAAATTAAGGGAAAACGGGAATTTTTACACAAAATCGATTTTTCACAAAATTGAATTTGGTTTTTGGTATAGGTAACTTTAAAACAAATTACCGTAGATACATCATATTTTCGCTGGTTGTTTATATTTGCCTTTTCTATACACGATAACATTTTCAAAATATTTTGATTTATTTTAAACTGTTTAAATAGTTAACTGTTTTACACTTTCATTTTCCATTTTTTTTTTAGTTTTTTTTCTAAAAATAGCAATAAAATTTTATTTGTTGGTTAAAAAATCTTGAAAATTTAATAGAAGGCTCATAGCATATTATTTCAAAGGCAGATGAAAAATATTAAAAATCCTTAGTCACAGTTTTTTTTTCATAAGCATTTAAAGTTCAAAAATTGACAAAATATGGAAAAATCACGAAAATTAGCAAATTATTTTGAGTTAAGAATTCGTAAAAATTTTTCTTTTTAAATCTAAGATTTTAAAACTGAATACAAGATTTCTTATAAGATTATCTACCTTTATCAAAAAAAAATGTCTATAAGAAATTCAAATTAAATTTTTATGAGAGTTTGTAATTCAAATGTTTACAACATTGGATATTCACTCGATTTCTCATGTAGCGATTTCCTTATTTTGTTGTAATTAAAAAACGAATAACTGTTGATACATCCTCCTGATATATTGTTACAATATCAGTTGAAAAATATTAAAAATACATTACACAATTTTTTTTTATAAGCATTTAAAGATAATTTTGACCAAATTTATCAAATTTATAATTTAATAATTATTTTGTAGTTAATAATTTATAAAATGTTCAACTTTTATAGCTAAGGATTGAAAATTTAAAACAAGATTCCACATAAGTAGTTAATTCTGTAACCAAAAAATATAAATAATACAGAAGCACAGTTTATTTTTATAGTCATTTTAAGTTCAAATATGGATGAAATTACATAATAAAAAACCTAGAATAACTATTTTAGTTATTTTGTTGTGATTATTCGTGGGTACTTGAAACTTCTAAAGTGTACTATTATATACCTATCTATGATAGTATCACGGTTTGTTGTTGATGTATAACGCATTATAAGTACCTAATGTGGATATTGTGATTTGATTAATTTGGAATTTATTATAGGTACCTATTAAAGGTCAATTTTTTTTTAATACTATAGATATGTACTTATATAATATGTCTTAAACCTAGACTGACATACCGTCTCCTCTCAGAATCGTTTTTCTTATACAATGATATTATATCATTGAATTCAAATTTAATACCATCCATTATACAGTGACCCACTTGTAACTTACTGTTCAGCAGAGCACCTTTTTTTTAATTTAACTAGGATTTTTTTTAAATTAATTTTCCATTTAAATCTAAAAATACCTATATAGGATAAAAAATCAGTTGAAATTCGTGTTTACAAATACTTACAAATTGTCAATGACGTTTTGGCATAGTCAACAACTTTGAAAAAATCGCTAAAGTTAGTCGTGATTTAAGCTTTTGAGGATAATTCGAAACGGCTGTACTTAATATTACCAAATTATGCTTACTAAAACTTATAAATGACTTTCAAATTTTCGCTTTGTGAGGCCAACTTTACGGACCTGAAAATTGGTTTGTCATCATCTTTACTTCCAGCTGAAGCAGTGGAAAAAATAACCACTGAACAAGAACTGGAAGAAATAATTGAATCATTTTAAGTGTTTGATTCGTTGGTCGTGTCGTACCCCGACGTTATCAGTTTACGATTGTAGTAATACGAATACTTTATCCACAGCACACCGGATAATGTATAAATTGATTGAATAATACATATTATTTA